CATTTGCTCTTTATCCAGTTCTGTGCTGAGCATTGTACTTTATGTATTCTTCAACTCAAGCCTACTAGACTGATACTTGTTTTTCCTCATCATCTTCATTTTACAGAGGCAAACCGAGGCATCAAGAGGCTGAGAGATCTGGCCCCACTGAGGGTCCCCAGTGGGTAAGTAATGGGACAGGCGTGGAGGCTGGGCAGACTGACTCGGAGCCCATTGCTGCCCAAGGGGGCCCCACTGCTTCCCCAGTCACAGGATGTGCACGCTCCCTGCCAGCACCGACATTTTTTGGGTTCACACAACTCTGTCTCCAACTTAACGGGAAACATTTGCAGAGAAGATCAACCAGATTCCATCAGCCCACTGGCACAGCCAAAAATAAAGGATGGAGGCAAAGCAGACAGAGTTGATTACTACAATCACGTGGCCAAAAGGCCCAAAGGAAGAGCTTCCCAATCATTTTAAAGCCCATGCAACTGTGTACAGCCCTTCAAGGATCTGTAGTGCCCAAGGTACTCTACTCTTTGGACCCTGTCCCACTTCCAGCCTCCCTCCTGTCCCTTGCTGGCCCTGCCATCCTGGACCACTTATATTTCCCTGTATGTGTCATGCTAGTGAATGCCCCTGGGCTTCTGTTTACACACCTCCCTCCGCACATGATGCCTCCCTCTGCCCTCTTGGCCATGTGACAAATGCTTGCTCGTCCTTTATGTCCCAGCTTGGCCATGCTTGGGGGTGTTGCCTGCCTGCAGTGAATCTGGGGGAGACTTCCTGAGGCTCACCCCTGTGGTAAGCGATTCATCTCTTTAAATTCTTTCTTTGTGTACCTTGCTCCTAACTACAAGGTAGGTTTCTATTTTTGCAAGCAAGGCCTCCTACCCCAGCACAGTGCCTCTCCTGGAATGTAAGTGAAAAATCCAGAATCTTTTATCCAAAAAGTGCCTGGGACATACATACTCGCTGAATTGAACTAAACAGAAATAAAATATGATCTGTTTTGCCCCAACGTGCTTCTCTAACCTGCGTGTCCTAGACCTTGCTACCACTTTCCTGTTCACCCAGCCCAAGAGATCTTACCAAGGTCCAGTTCCAACCCAGTACAAAGGCTCCTACCATCTCCAGACCCAAGCTAAAGCCTTTCTTTACTGCTCATTTTCTGCCTTGTCCCCCTGACGGTGCTAGGCCTGCCTTTCTGATCTGTCTCCAACATCCGAGCGTCCCAGGTTGTTTCATGCTCTGGGCCTTCGGGCACACAAACCACACTCTTGGGAAAGGCTTTCTAAAACTTGCCCATTTGACAAACTCCTACCATCTTTAAACCAATAATGAGTTAGAAGCCTTCTCTGGAGCAACATATAGTGCTTAGAGTGGTCTCTGGTACCCACTGTGCACCCAAGACAGGTCTGTGTGACTTCAGAAGTCACCTTCATCTTCACACCATCCCCACCAACCAATCAGTGCATGAGAATCCCTTTTGCAAAGAGGCTTTAAATGGGCAGCCTTTAAACACAAACACGTAAGAGAAACAAGGCTAAGACATTAGGTCTCCAGATAAGCCTAGGACTGGGAGTGCGTCTCTGTCACCCTTTCCAGAAGCTCAGACCGAATATTCTTACCTAACTCTGAGGAGGACCAGACACCTGTGGGTTCAAATCCCAGCTTGGTCTTTTAACCTCCTATATCCCCAGTTTCCCTCTGAAAAATAGACCTTGCTACCATCTAACTTTCTTGTGAACATTAAATGATTTATGAAATGTTTGGTATTTAATAAACTATTTCCTTTTCTCCCTGAATAGAAAGTGAATAAAAATAAGCATTTTACACACCCATGACGTATATACACATGTATGCACACACACACAACACATAATCCATGTCAAAATTACACTGACATATCAACACCCTGGAAGCAGAATTATGTCATCCCTCTGATTCACATCAAAGAACATGCCCAAACTCTTAATTCCAATTTTGGAACTCTGAGCACAGATGGAATGCCAGCTCCGACATCTTTTCCTGCTTTCAAATCACACTTGTCAAATGCACATTTTAAAATACTGTGACACCTCATTCTGCCTTGGAAACATCTACTCAGATCCATAGACTCTGTGTATGTAAAGGGAAATGTGCAATTCTACATCCTCTTTTCTTTTGTTGGTAATGCAACTCCTAATAATAGAGATTTTAGCAAAAGCAGAGAGGGAGCATTGTAAAATCACCCAGAGATGTTTATGCTTTGATTTTTTAAAATATCTAACAGTAAGCATTTGACATTTAGATACTGAAGCACTCTTTATCTGTAAATTTAATAAATGTAATTTTTTTTCAGTGATAATACTTAAAGATTCCAAATACATGATAGAAAAATACTTTAGTTCACTGCTAGTAAGCAGGCAACTAGAAACAACTGTTTGAGACAAATTTGGCAATATAAATCTAGAGTCTTAAAATATGAAGTTCTTAAACCCAATAATTGTACTTCGTAGAATGTGCCCCAGGAAATAATCTGGATGTTGGAAAGAGCTTTATGTACCCAGGTATTTACTGTTTTATTTTCATAATGAAGAAGATCATAAACAATCAAATGCCCAATAGCAGAGAAATGACCTAGTGAACTGCAGTATGTCCACCTGGTGGAATAACACAACTGTCGCTAGTAACACTGTGCTTTCTTTACCTGTTTCTTCAACGTCAGATTTGGAACGTTGTGCAAATAGGACATAGACAGGTGAATGAATGTATAAGTACACACATGCATGCATGAATGCATGATTTAGAGAGATAAGTAACAATTTGGAAATACACAAATGATGCACTATTAGGTAAAAAAAAAAAAGTACCATTGTAAACTACTTCAAACCTTACAGAAAAGCCTAAGGAAATGCGAAGGAAATAAACCAATGTTCTAACTAACATGGAGCACCTTCTAAACAACTGTGATTTTTTCCTCTAGGTCTGTATTGTTTGAATGTTCTGTAACTAAAAAGTATTAAAATATGACCTGCCTCTTGGGGTTTGTGTGATGATCAAATGCTTAGCACAGTGCTGAGGACAAAATGAAGTCTTCACTAAATGTTGAAAAGTTTGAAAAAGGCTGTATTATTGCTTTTAATTAAATGCAGCACATTTCTCTTCTTCCACAAACCTCTTCAAAATGAGGTAAAGGAACAAAAAAACTAAGCCCTTAAAGATAACAACAGAAAACAACTGAATTGAACTAACAGCAGATAAGGGATTTCAACAAACTTTTAGATGAAGAAAAGGAGAGGGAGATGTGCTGGCAGGCACCGCAGCTGGATACGTAACACTCCAGGTACCTGCGGAGTGGAGCACGGACACGACATGTTTGCGCCACAGGCGCCCTGGGAAGCCCAGGAAGGATGAGGCAGCATGGAAGGCAGGGGTGAACTATGGGGCTGAAAACAGAAGGCTCAGCTGGGGACCCCCACACACGGCAGTCGGCAATGACAAGAGAAGATTCCGAGTCCTCTTCTGGGCTCGCTGAGCCCCATTTACAGGGTCATAACAACTAACACTGACTCTTGCTTCAATCCTGAGTCCTGACGTTACTAGATCACGAGGATGATGGCGGAAACTGGAGAGGGGTGATACAAGAGAGCCCCAAGTCCTCATCTATCAAGGCAGGAGCTCAAGAGTTACTTTCAAAATCAAGGACCATCAGGATTCAAGTATTATTTAGAAACACAGATGTTAAGATGAGAAAAAAATGGCTAGAAGAGGTAAATGTGGTGGCTCTGGGAGTGGGAATGGCAGGTGGGCTGAGGTATTATAGGGAAACACTCAATTTTTTTTTTAACCATAAACCAAAAGGGCCTAATTGGGACTATTCGATCATTTGTATGTTATCCTGCTAAAACTCAAAATCAGTTTTGGCCAACGTCAGGCTTGGACATGTTTTATCTGCTTGTGTGTGTGAACCTCTCTCTAGGCGCCCCCTCTGCCATCCATGACATGGCCATAGCGATTCCTGCCTCTCAGTGTTTCAGAAAGCTACCCCCAGGTCACATATGTACAGTGCTAGGACTTAATGTCCTGGACATAAAGTCCTAATATGCTAGACACAGGCCTTCTGTATGGAATGGGCAAGGAAAAAAGTACATATATATGATCTCCAAAGTCACCTCTTGGAACTTAGTGGAGGGAAGTGACAACATGGCTTGAGGACATTTATATTTTTAGCTACAGCTTTGCTATAAATGATTCCCTCCTACACAAACTATATTCTGTCTCTTCAATCAGGACCATAATGACAGATGTCTAGAGCCTCTCAGACATCATGTCACAGGACAGGAATTAATGTCACTTGGCTCTTGGAGCCTCTCATTTCCTGCCTGAGAGAAGACAGAAAAGGGCCAGCCTGCCCGCTTCCACCTCGCCCGTCCAGCGCGGCTCCCTGCGCCCGCCTCCCCACACGCACTTCCCTCTCCTTTGGGACCAGACAGGGCACGTGGTGGGGAGCCCGGTGTGGCACAGAGGAGGGCACAGCAGCCTCAGCCTGGGCTGTGCTCCCAGGCTCAGGGCCCTCAGAGCCAGCATCCCGCCTCAGATGCCACCATGAGTTCCCGTATGCCGATGACTGTGATCCCCTACTTGTCCATGCAAATGAAACAATGAGGTCTTTCACTTTTTGGTCACAAATGCCACTGTTCTTGACATTGCTCAGGATTGTGCAGGTGATAGAGTGAAAAATTCCTTAGAATAAAAATCGGAAGAGCTAGAGAAAGTCCCACTCTGCTTCCAATTAACTGCATTATTTGGCCAAGTCATTGAATTGCTGTGAGTCAGTTTCCTTACCTGTAAAATGAGCATGGTGCTGGCATTTGCCCTGTCTATGCACATGTGCAATTGGTAGGAACCAGCATTAACAACGTGAGAGGTGTGGAAGCTCTATGCCACTGGGCAAGAGTGAGGAGAGCAGAGAGAAAGAGGGGCAAGGTGAAGTGGCATTCCCACCAGAAAGACTGACACAACGATGTGCTCACCTGTCTCTGCGGGCGATGGCAGAACCACCGAAGGGCAAAAACTGGGAGCATCATTCTGAGCAACTGAAAAAAGAAAAGAGCAGCCTTTTAGCTCCTCTTTGTATCAATGCATTTAAAGGCATTAATAAAGGTACAACTTGGTAGTGGTGCTGTTGGACTTGGGAGGCAGACAGACCTCATTCAGCTCCCAGCACCACTTCTGTACTGGTCAAGATGCACTGGGTTATGCTGAGGTCACAAACAGTCACAACATCTCAGTGGCTTAAAACACCCACAGGGCATCGCCTCTCTCCCACATGTGTCTACCACAGGCGGCCTGGGGCTTTGCTCTAAGTCGTCCTCCCTCCAGGCCCTGGTGGAGGCGGGCTCCATTGGGCCCTTGCTTCCACAATGCTGCTACAGGGGACAGGGACACAGCATGCTGCACTCTGGCTCTTACAGCTCCGCCTACAAGGGACACACATTATTCTCCACACATGTCATTGACCAAGGCCAGGGGTGGGGTCAGGGGTGAGGAAGTGCAGTCCTGGCATGTTCCAAAGACACATGGTGAACAAGGAGAATGCCTACCACCACCTGCTGGCTGACTGTTCACATGCATGAGACACTCAGCCTCTCTGGACATGTTTCCACATCTGTACAATGGGGATAATATAGCCTACCTTAAGAATTATTGTGAGGATTACAGGAGATAGTATAGTGCTAGGAGCAGAGTAAAAGCTAAATAATTGGCAGGCAGCATGGCAGGGTGGACAGAGAGGGGGCAGAGGGCAGATGACCCGGACTCGAATCCCCAAATGCCACTCAGCAGCAGTGTGGAGGTGATCTGACTCCTTCGAGACCCCGTTTCAGTGGTGGTAAGTTGAGAGTGATGTAAGAATTGAGTGAGAAACCACGCACACCCAGCAGGCCAAGTCCAAGTGCCTGTAGTTTCTCCCCTCCTCTTCCCTTACCACACAGATCTCAGTCTCCAAAGCCTTGTCATTCCTTTCTCCCAGTAGCCCAAACTAGGAGAGCATGCAGGGTCTCCTTGCACACCCAGCCACAGCGTAGCATGGTCAGAGGTCAAAGGGCAGGGGGGCTCTGGGGTCAGTGGCACAGGGTAAGACTGGCTTGGCCACTTCCTTCTGTGTGATCTTGAGCAAGTTACTTAATCTCCCTGTGCTCAGTTTCCTTGTCTGTAAAACGGGGGTAATGATGGTACCTATCTCAGGTTTGTGACGTTTAGATGAATCAGTACATTTAAAGCTCTGGGCATACAGGAAGCACTTAATAAATGCTGGCCACTACTCACTGTTCATATTGCCCTTGTGCAGTGACACACCTCGGCCACCGTCTCTTGCCCTAGCCTGCCTCCAGGAAACGCCTCAGGCAGGGTTATGTTCCGTCTGGTCCCTGAAGTCCCTACTTGGGCCACCTCACTCCTGTCCCCCCACTGCCTTTTTACTTCGGTTAGGTGCGCCATGACCAGCCTCTCTGCGGCCTAGAAGCTCTGGCATCTTTTTGCTCGGCCCCACCTGCCTGCAAACTCCTGCTCCTAAGCGTCATTCCGAGGTCCTGGTTCCAGGGCCAGACAGCACACGCCGCGCTGGCCCTGAGTGTCTGATTCAGCGGGTCTGGGAGGGGGGTCTGAGATTTGGCACTTCTGACAAATTCCCAAACTGATGCTGCTTGTCTGAGACCACATGTTGAGGACCCCTGAGCTAAGGTTCTGTCTCCTCAGACAACACTCAAAATTACTACTGACCATCTGCCATGCTCCTGGCTTGTTTGTCTAAATGCCTGTCTTTCCTGGAAGAGAGTGGTTCTCAGGACAAAGAGCTTGAGAATTAGTGCAGTCTTTAGAGAACAAGCAGACCATCTCTAACATTCAAATGCCCTTTCGCTTGGACCAAGTAATTCTGGTTCTGGAAATTGAAAGCAAGCTCAGTTTGCAAAGGGCACATCCACACAATACTACTGAAATGCTGGAACCTATATACATGTCCAGCACTCTGAGAGGGGTCAGCCGGTTACACACGTCCACGGGGACAGTTATGGGAAGGTCGTCTCAGATCGTGCCCCACAGGTCTGCTGCTGCTCTGCTTTCTTTTTCTCACCCACTATCAGTGTTTCTAAACGGCACTATTAGCCTTTTGGGTGGGACCTTCCTTGCTGTACAGGAATAGCAGAGCCCTGGAGATTATCAGCTTCCCAGGGCCCCTGGGGCATTGAAACTGCAACACCCTCAGCCCTGGGAGGGCTGACTTCCCTGGGGTCCCTGCTGCTCTCACTGTGCAACCTTGAGCAAGGCCTCGGCTCATTCACGCTTGTTCAGCGAGTGGCTGCCGACCCTCCTGCTTCTTCCCAACTCTGGTTTCAGCAACATCACGCTGGTAGCTTGCAACCAGCCTCAGTGGGAGTATTTACACCATAGCAGGTGGGAAAGACTACAAATCAGGGCCTCCCCCAGCCCGTCCTGTTGTAAACTACTTGCCAGCACAGCACTGAATGGGGTGAACTATAGGCCCTACCTCATCACATTGTTTGGGGATTAAATAAGATATTACTGCAAAATGCAAGCCTAGAGCCCAGAGCCAGCTCTGGGCTTAGTACATGGCAGCAGCTGCTGGTGGAGTGTGACTGATGATGAAGAATGCATCCACAATAAACTTTACCTCCAAGTGGTTACTTCTACGTGGGTTGCAAAGGCATAATAAGAAGAGATTTTCATTTCCTTTCCAAGTGATGTTCCCATATCTAGAATTGCTTCAAGGGCCAAGTGCATTTGCTTAGCTAAAGAAGAGAGGAACCACGAGGCTTTGATTGTTTTTTTTTAGAAGCCACACTGATTTTGAAAACAAACCAAAGACCCTGCCCCACTTGCAGGCCATGCACAGCTGTGGAGAGAAGGGCCGCCCTAGCTCTCTTCAAAGAGAGGAGACTACCAGTGCCCCAGAGGCCCGCCCCTTCCAGGAAACCCTGGGCTCCGGGGCACCGCCTGACCACAGAGCAGCCCACTTCACCCCTGCACTCCCACCCGGGATGCTAAGAACACTTCCTCTCTGGGTCCTGCTGCCGGGAAGGGGCTGCCAACAGCCTCATCTGCATTCACCGTTGCTCAGCCCGAGCCTCTCGGTTCTGTGCAAAGACACACGGAACTTCCTGCTCACTGTGGACAGCAAAGCCAGAGTGCACTGTGCGGGCTCTCCGGGGTTCCCTCTCCCTGCTCCCTGCTCTGTCTTTACGCTTTATGCCTTTCTCTTACTGGACTCCTGGAGACTAAGCTTCGGCCCTTGCTCTGTGTGCACGTGTCTGAGGCCCCCAGGGCCTTGAGGGCAGGACACAGCCAACTCCACCCCCATAACCTGCCTGTCCTTTTACCCCTTTATCTACACTCTACTTTATCTACATCCAGATTGTTCTGGAGATGCTTCTGCATCACCCCTTATAGAACAGACCTCCTTGTTCCCCTTTCATGCCCCCAGAAGCCTCTGTGGGTCCCACCCCAGGAATGTAAGCCACATCTCTGAGTAGTTCCCTGATTACAAAGAGAAGAATTACCTCCTCATGAGGGGAAAGGAGCGCCAACCTGACAGTGGGGTGGTAATTTAATTCTGGGTAAAGTGTGTGGAGTTGGTTCTGACATACACCAAATGCGTGCTTAAGCAATGCTCATTTTCATTCCCGTCTGTCATGCCTGCCAGCCACACCGCCTGTGGGCAGGACCTTCCACCTCTGCCTCCAGTGTTGGACATGTAGCCGGAGCTCCGTGAACATCATTTCCTCTCCCCATCCTCAGTGGAGGTTTCAGAGACGGGACCTGGGTTACCCGTCTCTGGCGCTGAGCCTGGAGTCTAGCCGGGGGTCCATGGGAAACACCACATACAGAGGTCGATACATTAATGATCAAGCCATGGACTTGAGGCAAGGGCAAAGTCTAGTATGGAGATTTTTCACAAGAATTCCTTTGTAAAAAGGTATGTATGCCCCATGTGCTGATATGATTGAAGATGAGGACCCTCGCTACCCTTTGAGGCTCAGGCAGGTAAATGACAGAATTTGGACTTAGTTCTGACTCTAAATTATTATGTTATGTGGCTGAAGATGAATAAGACATGATTCCTGTGTGACTTCGAGCAAGTGACTGAACCTCCCTGAACCCCTCTTTCCTCATCTAACAGTGTGGTGAGGATCAGATCTGCAAAGTCCTATAAAGTGCTTGGTATCCAGCCCACTGAGTAGAGGCAGCATTTGTAACACCAGAGGTCCCAGGCTTTGTCAATGCTCAGTCTGTCTGCTGAAGGTGAGCACCTCTGTGAATTTCTAATTCTCTGCCTTGTAGTTTCTGATCAGAACTCCTGATTTCCCAGCCTGAAGCCACAGAATATATGTTGGAAAAAGTTATGCAGTCAGATGACATGAAACAGAACAGATGGACTGAGTCTGGACACCAAGGACCCCAGGTTCTTTTACTTGCCAGCTCCTGCCACAATGCTGTAACACTCTGGTATCTCATGATATATCTGAACAAATGAATTATTTCTTAAGTTTCATTTAACCCAAACCTTTCCTGAGCAATATGAAGATGGAAAAGGACATTTTTCAGTATTTGGTGGAGTGAGGAGATGGGAAGAGATGTGGGAGGCCAGATGGGGCAAGGAGGCATTGAAGGGTAAGGGTTCAGTCCAGAAGCCCCCTAAATACCCAGAGCTGGCACTGGGGATCCTGCAGGGGCCACTGTGCTAAGAAAGTATTCACCTCTCCCCTGCCCCTGTAAGCTAGTGAAAGCCTGCTCTGTAGGGCACGTTTTACCCTAAATAAAAACACACTAAGGCTATTGTCATCATATAACCCTAGTATTTTTCTTGAAATAATTCAAGATGTTAAAATAAAATTAAAAGCTAATGGAATGAACTCAGATCAAGGCACAGGATGCTCAAGGTAGACATCAGCAGGGAAGATTCCATTCAGACTGATAATAATTAGCTCCAAAACAGATACGCTCTGAAGTCAACGAGCACCTTGGGCATTAGTATGCTCGTGAACAAAGGCCATGGACCAGATAGATGCCAACTGGGAGCCCCATCCCAGGCTCTTAGGTTGGATATGGCTCTGGAATAAGAGGACAACCCACCACTGGGTTTACTTTGCTAGTTCATTAGTCAGTTTTACTTTCTTTTTCAATGCGTTAGTCAATTGCTTGTTAGTTAATTCAGTTGGGGGAAAACCAGTCAGAGAAGGTGTCAGGACATTTTCATTTATAATCACTATTGGGATATTGAAGACCTGCAGGAAGCAACATGGTAAAGCAGAAGAAAGAAGTCTGGGATCATCAGATCTGGGCAGGCAACCTGACTGCTGCTTGTTAGCTATGTGGTTTGGGTCAAATAACTTCAACTTTCTATGTCATACTCTCCTCATCTAAAAATGGAGGAAATAATATGTACTCCATAGGGGAATTAGGAGTATTTAATTATAGAACCCACGTAGAAGCCCCAGCATGTGGGGACACAGCATACATGTAGACACACAGCAGTAGGCTCATTAGTAATATCAAATCTCTCCCTTCCTGTTTGGGCAAACCTTTGTGTCGGGTGATGTAAGGACTGTGGAGATCAAAGTTATAGATCTCTAAGATTCCTCCAGACCAGACATTCTGTGACTCTCATTTCTAGAGCAGGTGCCCCATCCTGTGCTGACTCTGAAACTAGGGAGGAGGCACCAGTGGGAGAGGCTGGAGACACTGAGCCTCACCCAGCCTCTCCACTGACACCTACTAAGACAGGGCTGTCAATCTTTCTGTGTCTGGGACATCTTTGTGAATTTGCATCTGGGATGCATGATGAGGCTGTCCAGTCTCCATGTTATCACCCACTGTACCCCAAGTGTACCCATACCCTTAAACACCCAGAAGAGAAGAGCTGATAGGACCACAGTGAGTCTCATTCATTGTCTTACTAATGGAGAAACTGAGGAAGTGGTATGACTTTCCCAAAGTCATAGTAGAAGGCAGAGTTGGGAAGATACAAATATCTCTTCATTTGAGTCCAGGAGCTTCTCCATCACACCACGCAGACCTTTCATTCATTGATTCAGACTGAGCTCCTAAAGTGTGCTGGGGTTTAATTAGCACATACGTGTGAAGTACTCACACTGAGTCAACACTGCCTTGGCCCTGAAGTCCTAACTCCACATACATTGTCTGATACGCGTCAGCTGCCCCTCTTGCGCTTCCTGAGAACTGCCATGCGCTCCACTGTCCTGACTAACTGACAGGATGGGCACACCAAGGGAACCTGGCAGAGTGCACATCCATTGGTTTCTCCTGCCGGGCAACTGAACTTAACTCTACTTAGAGGAACCTCCTCTCCCCCCATGTGCAGTCTTGCTGGGACTGTCACCAAGCTGCCCCACCCTCCCTCTGAGAGTGGCTGGACTTACAGCCCAAGCTGGGCCAAATTTTTTCCCTTGAATTTAAAGTTTGAATCTAACAACCAAAGCCCTCTGGAGCTGACTGATGATGACAGTGGCCCAATGATGAGGTTGTACACTCATTTCTGCTAAATACGTCAGTGATGCTGAGACCTTGTCCTCTTCCCTCTAAGTCTTCCAATAAGTTCCTTTTCTGCTTAAGTTAAATAGAATCAGTTTCTATTACTTGCACCCAGTGAGTCCTGACGAATTTCCTTCCCAGCCCAGGAACATCATTCTAACATATGGTTGAGAAACAGTCAACTAAAGACAACCATGTAGCTGCTCTGGGAAGGTCACTTACTGGGTTTCTGGTACCATCCAAAGGGATAGGTGCGGACCTCAGTGTCAGGGGAGCCACAGTCCAAAATGCGCCAGGCGCCTCCATTTTCCTCAGTACATGTCTGAAGCCCCAAGCTGTTCAGAGTCAGGCATGTTACCTCTCCTCCTGGAGCAAAAAATACCCAGGGCCAGGAAAATGATCATGAGGGAAGGTTCTAAGTAGTGAGAGAAATTCTGCAAACTCATTCTTAGCAGACTTTTGGGGTGCTCCACTGTGTTCCAGGTACGATCTCAGCACTGATGACAAACCTGGTCCCTTCACGAGCCTCTGCTAAAGAGGGAAGGATGCAGCAGCTCCATATGGAGCACCCATCGTGCACCCAGGGCTGTGCTGGGGCTCGGTCTGCATCATCCGAGCTGGTATGCACACAGCCCTGGAGGAGGGTAGCATCTGTATCCCTACTTTCACGTGAGGAACCAAGGTTCAGAGATTGAATAACTTGTCCAGGATCCCACCACTAGGAAGCGGCTAGGAAGCATCAAATTTAAATACACACCATATGGATAGATCCAGAGTCGATCCCACCAAGCTGCCTGACCCAAATCGTGAAGACGAGCAGACGGCTGAGTGAGCCCCTTGAGGAAGGCTGTTTCGGCCAGGTGCAAGCGCTGTGTGAAGATGAGCAGGCCCTGCACATGGAGGCCGGTCCCAGCTGTCTTTTTTATCAGCCACCTCCCCTCTCCAAGCCTCTACTTCCCATCTGTAAATGAGGATTACTACTCCCCACCCACTGTGAGGCAATGCTGTAAACTGGATAAGATCATAAATACAAATGTGTTTCTAGACTGCAATGTGCACGCAGGTGAGAGGGAGTTTTTATTACCTTTCAGCTGGGAAACATTTAGAAAGCCAAAGCCGGTGCAGCACGGGTCCACGTCACACAGTCGTTCACATGCGAAGAAGCTGGCGTGAGAAGAGACAGAGCAGGCCTGAAGGTTTTCACTTTTGTGGGTGGCCCAAGACCTCCTGGGTGGCTGAATGGCAGTCATTTTTACTTCTGAGGGCCTACTTTCTTTGTGACCACCCAAATTGGGGGTGCTTTGGCCAGTACGTATGAGTGGATTCCTAGCTTGGAGGTTCTTTCTGGCAACAAAATTCTTCTCTTTTCTGGGGGATGTGGTCTTGCCAGCCTTCATTTATTTGCTGATTCATTCATCAAGCACAGACCCTGTGCCTGTCATGCTCAAACCCCAGCTAACCTAGCATCCCGAATGTGCTCCTACCATCCTTTCAGATATGGACTGGACCCCACTTCTAGGACCCCACTGGTGGACCCCACTTCTGGCAAGAGGGACTTCGTGGCTCCAAACCAGTGCTACTCCTGGGCCCGGTTCCAGTGCTCCCCACCCTGACCACACGCCCCAGTTCTGATCATTCACTGCTGACTCCTGAGAGCCCCTTCCGCCCCTTACCCCTTAGTTCCTTTTCACCGTGGGGATCCTGCCTCGTCCTTGCCATTTCCTCCTTCTCATTTGTAGAAGCCCCTGAACCCAAATCACATCCCAGTGGGCAAAGCCTCCATCTCTCCTGAGCAGCTTTTCCTCTGCTAGCTGTATCTCTGCACCTGCCCGTGGGTCCCTCCAGAGTCCTGCCACCCACCCCTTAGTTTGCCTTTCTTGGAAGACCACAGCTAAGGGAGGGTGTGTTTGCCACTGAACTGCCCTTCTCTGAGACCCCAGTCCCATCGCAGCCAGGGTCGGGCTGACCCCTGGGTCCAGCCCTCCTTCTCCTCCCGGTCCCCTCAGCAGGGGTGGGGCCCTGCCGGGTCTCCAGAGAGACGACGACTGTCATCTTTTCAACGGCATTTTCAAAGTCAATCTTAAACATTCACCCCAGCTACATGACAGTTTCTGACTCAGCAGTACTTCACAGATCAACAGTCTGGAGATCGATGACTCTTGAATTCTAACGGCCAAGAGAATCACCAGGAGGAGAAGCTGACTTAAAATTCAGCTTCTGGGGCCCCACTCCAGAAAACGCTGGTTCACCAGGTCCAGGACACAAGGATGTGATTTGTAAAAAGTTCTGGTGATCAGATGGGTGAGATCCACAGACTAGGCAGAGAAAAATGTCACCCTCATTTAAAACAACTGAAGAACAGCTAACTTATAACTAACTAAATAAATAATATATTTTAAAAATCATAAAGTCCCATGGTCCTATTAGAAGTTCTACTTGCTCTCTGGATTCTGAATGCAGCACAGTGAGTCTCTGCTGACCACATTTATTACAACACTAGATAATTTTTATTAATTGGTCAGACAGGGCTCAGTGTTTCCTTTTTGCATCAGCTGAGCGGAGGTTCAGGGTTGAAGCTGGTGTCTAATTATCAGTAAGCTACCTTGGCCATGCTTTTTAGATCCGGTCACCCCTGTATAACCTTGCTCACCATTTGCTCTAGGTTTTGCCATGTTTTACACATGTGCCTTTCACGGATACTGTATTACCTTCTTTATGCGAGTAGAAGGGTCTTAATAATAAATACTGGTAATGGAGGGAAAGAAGTAGCTTACCCACTGGAAATGGATTTTTCCGACATTGGCACTTTACTTCTAATGGAAATCCCCGTCAGTTTTTGGAATGGCAGGCGAGTATAAAAGTTATTCACTCTATCTTTCAGGACAACTACACAGAGAAAGAAAGAAATCTTGTTATTTAGAGGGAGATTTGCTGTATCCATGAAAATAAGAGGATAAAGACATACAAACCAGACCGAGAGCTCCTAATTAGAGATGGCTTATTAAAATCACATATTTTCTCTGCTCCTGTCCCACAGCTCACTAAAATAATAGTGAAGGATTCTTGTGAAGGCATACACCCTCAAGGACAAAGAGAATAGGAGAAGGGATATAGCAATGAACGTTTGGAAGCTTGAAAGCACAGAAGAGCACACGATTGACTTAATGGGCCCAAGAAAGCTGAATGCTCAACTTTTCTGTGCAAAGAACCCAAAGTAACTCAATACACCTTCTGGAATCCCAAAAGGGTGAAGTATTGGCAGCACTGGGCGGAAGGTGGGCTAAAGCAGGGGGGACTATAAATCTCTTTGAGAAGCAATTTGGTCTCCAGACACCTCCTCTGCTTTCCACAGCAGAAAACTGTGCTCTCCCCACCACAGCAGGAGATGGAAGGTTTATTTTCAGGAGCGGACAGAAGAGAAGGGATCTCTTGGGTGCTCCAGGTGAGTTCATGGAGGGAGCAGTATTCTTCCTGATCAATCTACTTGGTGAAAGTTGAGGCTCTTTCATCTTCCAACTTTATTTGGCATCCAAATCAACAGCAGCCAAGCTCATGCCCCCAGGCAGATGTGACAGGATCCCTCTGGGGAGGGACCTGAAAGTGACCACTTGAGGGATTTCCCCAAAGTGCAGCTCAACCAGATTACTCTGCAGGGAAACCTAAAGTCAACCAGCTCCCTCCACAACCTGGGAGTTTCCTGAGTAGCTTTTGGCTCCTTTCTTACATTTAAATGGAAAACCAAGGGTCACCAGATATCTGAGAAAGGCCTCCAGAAAAGGAGATAGAACAGTGAGATAGAATTGGAAGAACAGAGACTGTGATGGGTGAAAAACAAAAACAAAAACAAAAAAGTGTCATTAATATCCCCAGAGAGACACATTAACTTCTATTTTGTAAAAGCCACTGCTGTTGGGATTTTCAGCCAAATGGAATTCTAACTGGTACGGGCGTTATGAGTAGCTTTCTCTGAGGATTGGGATTCAGAGCAGGACTTTTCTCGGTAGTCAACCTGATGCATTTCTGAATGGCTTCACATCTTGGCATGGATAACTTTACTTTAAAATGAAGAATAAATTAATCTGGATATTTCTATAACCACAGAGCCAGCAGCCCACTAGAAATGCAGTTTGTGCAGATCCCACTAAGCACTTACTTTTCTTCCGGAACAGGGCCTTTGGCCTGTGGGGCAGGATCAGTCTGCAGCCCTTGGGACTGGACTCCATGGCATCGTCACACACCTGGGCCTCTGGGTAGAGAGTGCAGGTGAAGTACAAGGGTGCAGTGTCTGCTATCTCCACCAGCTGACAGAAAGTGGGCTTCTGGACACAGCCTACAGACAACAGAGCAGTCGGGTGTTAGTCCTTGGGAGGCCTGCAGGAGAGAGTCAGCGCTGGAAGATCTTCTGGGAAGAAATGCCTGGTAGGGATTCTTCCTAGGCAGGGCAAAGGCCCAGGACAGTAGAGGCTATCCAGTCTGGAGGCCCACAAAAAATCACTTAGGTTCTGCGAGCTGGGAGAGGATCATTTGCAAAACAGGGAGTCCATGGGGCTCTAAAAGATGGCAGAGTCTCAAATTGGAAAAGGTGAGCTGTAAACACAGCAATACAGGAGGAGAGAGGGTAAAATTCATTGGGCCATCTCAGAGGCTGTCAGAATCTTCAGAGAAGAAGCCACAGGACATAAAAACCATGTGAACACTGTGAACAATCTCCCCTGCTGCCACTCCCATATCAGACACTGGCACTGGTGTCAGTGCGCTCCCTGACAGGGAGAATCGTGGTTCATTCACTTTTCTGTGTTTTGTTTTCTCATCCCCAAGGTGAAATACAAGGCCTAGAATATGGCACATGCTCAATATAGTAGATGCCTATTGGGTAAAAGATGGATGGATGGATGGATGGATGGATGGATGAATGGATGGATGGATGGATGGATGGATGGATGACAGGTTCTGGGAGCAGAGTAGAGATTAACTACATTGATGGGTTGTGTCCTGTCTTTATTTTGTATCACCCATGGTACTAAATGGATCCCTGAATCATGCCACTGAGTTTGATCTTACCTAATTCTCAAGAGTTGTTAAACTAGGCCTGTGATGTGGGACCACAGGGTCTGAAAGAAGGATAAGGCCCAAGGGTACTTACTAGACAGGCACCACAGGTTTGCCTGCTGAGGTGAAAATAGGTGTTTGAAAAGCCAGTGCTGCTGTCTGGGCAGGGATTGGCTTCCATTGACAATGACCTGGTTAAGGTCCACATGGGAGAAAAGCTCTGTTCTCAAATCTGAAAAAGAAGGAGTTTCTTTGTTTATTTCCATGATCAATGAATCAATCAATCAATCTCTGTCTCTCACATGCATGTGTGCATGTGTGCACACATGCATGGGCACATGCACACACTCTTTCAGGCTGTACATGAAGCCAGAGCAGATATGGAGTCAACAGCGTTGGGAGTCTGGTCAAGAAGGAAGGGTTCAGAAGGTCCCAGAAGGTCAGAAAGTCCTGAAAATTATGGAGTTGCAAAATCTTAGAATTTTGGTTTGGAAGAAAGCTTGGGAGCCATCTGCTTCAACTCTTCACCAAGGCATGACTTACTCCCACAACAGTTCAGGCCACACCCCATCATTAGGAAGTTTTAGAGTCAAATCTCTGTTTGTAACTTTTGAAACACAGATGCCCCTTCTGTCTTTTGAAGCCAAGTCAAAGTCCTGGCTCCCTCCCAGATGACATCCCTCCCCTATGAAGACAGCTTTCAGCTCTGCTCAGCCCCAAACTTAAAAATAGCAGCTTAGCTATTCCCCTAGTCTTTTTTTGTGTCTTCACACACCATGATCTCTGGTTTAAGGCTCTTCCTGGGTGCCCACCTGCCCACAGGACAGAAGTCCCAGCTTTTGTCTTGATCCAAGCTCCACCTGTATTTTAAGCCTCATTTCTGATTGCCTCAACTCACATTCCAGAAGCCTACAAACACTGGTAATCCTAGGTCATCACCACACTGCCTGATGCCCCAGGACTAGTGTCCATGCTTACCCTTCTCCCTCACCTATCTAGTCCTCCTGTGTTTCAAGGGCGAATGCTGTTCCCTCCTGATCTGATGGTCTATGGCTCTATAAAGAGCTTCTCTGTTCCTGAAGGACCCCAAATCCCAGGCCTGGGGGTGGGGGGATATTTCTGTGCCTCATAAGGGCTATGACTTTCCAGAGAGGCTTACACGGGGGGCATGAAGCAGTTCATGGAAAAAAGCTGGGGCACATCTACAGTGTCCCTTAAGTCAGAGTTCTGGCATAAGGGGCATTACATCCCATACAGATCCTCACTTTTCCCTGGACTTGAACATCCACTTAGCAGCCTACTCTCCAGGCTGCATAAGGCAGTCTCATGAGACTGAACTTCTTCAGCAACAACCAGGAAGAAGATAAAAGCTTTACTCATGTCTGGCGAGGCCAGTTTATTGCTGGCAGAACCCCCAGAGGCCATGCTGCTGCCCCCTCCTCCACTGCCCCAGATCTCTCGGTCACTGAATGTCCCATTATTATATGACAGTTTATATACCTGTCCCCCTGCTGAGCCATGCACAGGTCACCTCTTAAGACAACAGAGTAAGGAGGGAAAAACAACCCCGCAGGCCTAAAGGCACACTTGAAGTTCCCTGAATCACACTTCACCCTTAGAGCCTCTGTACAGGCTGGTCCTCTTACCTGGAACATCTTCTCCCAGGTGTACCCTGGGAATGCCTCGCAGATTCTTTTAGACTCCTCTGAGAAGCCTTTCCTGTCATCTGTAGGCCATTTAGCACCCTCTCTTCCCTGCAACATCACTGCCCTTGAAAGTTGTCCCCATTTCAGCCTTGCTGCATTGCCTTGCAGTCGCTGGTATATGGAAATGCTCACTAGTGAGTGAACGTCTGAGGGCACAGAATATGTGCTCAAAAAGTGTCTGGCAGATGAAAGGATGAATATTTTGGCCACTCAGCTTACATGCCATATTAGGAAAAACTCATTTCTCCTTGCTCTCTCAGAGCTGTGCACTCCCCTTGACAGCAAGGAGGCCAGCACAGGCTTGCCAGATGGGAGGCTGTTCCTGTCGGCTTCCCTGTGTGTCTCAAACACTCAGACTAATCGCAACGACTTGAAGCCGAATGAGAAAAATCCCTCACTGTTCTTTGAACTGGAAAGGCCGTTCCCAGAGATACTGAGGAGCACAGGCCAGGTAAGGGAGCCACAGAGAAGCCACTGGGCCCCACCCCAGAGGAGCGGATCAAAGGCGTTTCTCCTACAGGGGCGTTATCTTCTTACATCCAGGAATATAATCAGCTGGGAAAGGGAAAACTGAGCTGAGCTTTGTCTATTCACCCTGAATCCCTACAAGGTCTTGGGTGGGGGCCCAGCTACCCTTCTGGTTTGGGGGGAGGATGCAGGGGTCCTTCCTGAAGGAATCATGGGATAGTTGTGTAGGTGTGGCCATGGCACAGTGTATAAGGATGGTTTTTACAGAATGTTCAGAAGTGCCATGAAATCATTCACATTTACAGACTATGGTTACCCCCATGAGGCACTCTAAGGTTGAGGATGGCAGATGCAAATGCCTAGGGAAGGCAGGGGCTGGCAGGAGTGCCTGGGGCTGGCAGGGGAGTGGGGCAAACAGAAGATCTGTGCCCTGATGGAAGGGGCAACTCAACTTAGCTCAGAGAATGGTCTGAGGAAATGTGAAGCCATGTTGCCAGAGCCTTCCCTCTGTTTTTGTCTATAAAAGCTGGAAATCTGAATTTGTATATAAAATCTCCCAATTCAAAAATATTGGCTCAGTTTTAAAAAAATTCCACTCTATAAATCAAACACAACCCATCTGCTCTGTCAGCCATGGGTCATCAGGACTCAGCCCGGAGGCCATGCTGTCTACACTAGGGAGCAGCTGGTACAGTTCTAGAAGAATCCATCCAGGCTTCGGAGTCATCTGACCACCATTTGAATACTGGTTCTGCTGCCCCCTTAGTGCTGGACTGGCTTAAACAGGACATAGTGATGCACTTAGAGATTGGAAAAATGGGAATAAGCACACCATCAGCAGAGCTGTCATACTGTTGGCAAGATGTTGCTTACAAAGCACCAAATGCAGGACTGATTCTCGGAGGTGTAAGGGATGTGGGGTGGGAACTTGTTCTCTTCTGCTCTCCTCCCCGTGAGTTTTGAAGTCATCCTTGCTTTAGCAGAAAAACAACAGCTGGCAGCAGATAAGTTCGAATAGGCGCCATGCACTTGGGAGGCTCCCAAGGCAGAACTAATTTGCCAGTGTGCTAGTACGGACAAAGATCAGAAAGGGGAGAGGCCAGGCCACTGCAGAAGAGACGCAGCAAAACGGTTGTTTACGAGAACAAGGAGGGGAAGTCTCCTGAGCAGGTGACCCTCCATCCGCACACCACCACCCTGCTGGTAGAATTAAAGCTTCCACTGGAAAACTTCCAAAGGTGCAAAAGACACCACTGCTGAGAGTGTCTGAACAGGAATATGTACTGGGACCCTAGTTTTGATCCCAAGCTGGGATCTGCTATCTGCCAGCCAATACAGGAAGAGGGATGGAATAGGGACAAAGCTTTATGGAAGGCTTGCTATGAGCCAGGCTAGGTGCTAGGATTGCAGTCACCAATGCCACCACTACCGCATAATAACAGTCAACAGCCTTTGAGCACTTGCTCTGTGTCACTACAATTTATAGAATTACCTACTCCAGTTCTCACAACTGCCATATCTCTTGGGTACAGCCATTACCCTCCTCTATCAAGGGAGAAACTGAGGCTCAGAGAAGGTAACTCAGGCTTGCAGACAGGCAGTTAGAAGCAAAGCTGGGATTTGAACCCTCCTGCCCACACCTGAGAACCCACACTCTAAACCAGTGCCCAAGCCCGGGTCCCACAGCTCTGTGAATGCAGAATGAACTCATAGTTGCCAAACAGCTACTATGAGATGAGCTCCATTTTCAGTGGCTTGTGTACATTGTCTCATCTGATCTGTACAAAAGCCCTGGGAAGGGGAAGAAGCTATGATTTGGGGGGCATCTGCTAAATATCAGGCCATGCACCAGGAGTGTCACCTGGCCCGTCACCTATAATGGGATAAGAGGAAAGCACCACATGAGGAACCAAGGCTCTCAGTGGGTAAGGGAAGTACCCAAGGCCATGCATGCAGTTAGTAGTAAGTTGGCAAAATAGGGCTCAAGCCCTGATGTGTGTGCTTGCAGTGTGGTGTTTCCCCCACTGTACAATGCTGCCTCCCCTGTGCTGGCAGCCTGAGCTGCCTCCTCTCTCCCTTCCCTTTCCTCTCCCTCTTTCTCCCCACCCCTAGTTTTAGCTCCACCTAAGGAACAACAATTGTGAGGACCAGGGATGGAGAGGTCACAGACATCACATACACTGTGCCCCTATAACATATGGATTTTGCATCTTCCACTGCACAAAATGACTCTCTTGAAAAATTCTCACAGACATCTCCTTCATTAAACAGTCCCAGAATGCTTAGCCTCTTCAGGGTGCACACAAGTGAAGCCACAACCCACAGTTAGAGGAGCCCTGCTCTGTAGCAGTTCTCTGCCTTCTCTGTCACTCTAGTCGGGCTTTTTTCCAGCTGCAGTAGTGACTTTGCACTGATGTCACCTCACTTTTTGGGCCGATTGCCCATTTGAAGAGCTGTGAATATTTATGAAATGGATACTGGGGTTAGAAAGCCAGAGGGGAGTCCATGGCTGCCGAATGGGGCGATGCTAATGGGCCCCTTCAGTGACGAGATCCTTGGCATCACCATCCCATCCTCACAGCCAGGCACCCCGGGTTCTGAAGGTTTTGTGGTTGGTACCTGTTTCTGTTGGAGGCGCTGGCCTTGGTTCCACGTCTCTTCTACAACCAAGGGACTCAGATCGAGACCCCATGTCAGAACCTGGGAGGGAGAGAAAGGATTGTTCTGATGCTGGGAAGGGAAAAGGGTCGTGCAGTGGCATATGGGAAATCCTCACGGTCCATAGCCAAGTGCCCAAGACACGGTCTGGAACAAAGTCAGTGGCATAAGTCTGCGCTCTCTGGTCCTTGATGGAACAGCAGCCAACTTCTCAACACCAAACTATTATTACCCTTGATACTGAAATTATTAACACTTGCAAAGCCCTTTAAAGTGTATGAAATGAGTTCATAAATGTTGGGCTTTGCAACACCTTGTGAAGGTGAATGGTAAGATTTCCATTTTACTCTTGAAAAATCTAAGACTCAGAGAGATGAAATAACTTATCCCAGAACAAGCAGGTTGTAAGATGAACTGGAATTTGAAAAACTAAAGCAAGTCCCCAAGTTGGGAACAGGTGTTTCCTGAAAGCAGAGCGTGCCTGTGGGGAGGACAGGGCACTGCACAGGTCTGTGGTGGCAATGTCCTGGGGAAAAGCAATTCCCTAAGTTCCCACCAGCTAGAACCTTATGTGCCAGAAATTTTTGATAACTGGGAACCAGTATCTGGTTCCCACCCCAGGAGTCCCATGGGCATTTCACTTAACCTCTCCAAGTCTCATTTTTCTTGCCTGAAAAGTGAACAAAATTCTATCCCCTCTTTGTACCTACCTTACAGATATGACCTAATGAGAAAAGACATTATAATCAATCTCATTATATGGCTTTAAAATGAAAGTGATGATGGGCACCTCCCTTTCCGTTTTACTCTTTTTTTCCTCTTCTCCTCCTCCCGCTCTTTACCCACCACCAGCACCGGCGCCAGGGGCTAGCCTCTGGCGCTCTAGGCTCTGTTCTAAGCACTCCACAGGCACGCCTTGCCCGTGCTCACACACCTCCGTGCGGTAAGCACACTTTATTGCCATATTACCCGTGGGACGTCCGGGCTTAGGGACTGACTGATGTGTTCAAGGCCCCGCGGAAGGTAAGTAATGGAACCTGAATTCATGCCATCACTCTAATCCCCTCTGTGCTCTTTCCCTCTAGTTCACTTTACAAGCACAGTACAGGTCGCCAGTCCCGGCTCTTGGGGGACTGGAGACTGGTGAAGAGGGAGCCTGGGAAGAGGAGGGACACAGGGTCTGGGATCTTTCCCCCTCCCTCGCTCTAACCCAGCACCTGCGGCCATGACTTGTGAAGTCCACTGCTTGCTGGCTCCCTCCTGCGGCCGCAGCCCCTCAAGGTCAAGGCCGTGCCCCGCCTCTCATCCCTGATCACTCACACTCACCCACATGCCTCCCACAGCCCCTGGCTCTGAGTAAGCACCTGGTCAATGTTCAGTAAACTCAAAGGACCAACAAAGAGGAAAGGATATGTCAAATGTGCATTTTATCTGAGCTCTCCGCCTGTTGCATGCACACACAGTAGCATTATCTCTAACTGGGAGTTCTTGGCACCACCCACCTGGGGTCCTGTCCCCACTTGGCAGCAAGAGAGGGCCTGTGGCCTGGTTCCCTTGGGGAAGTGCCTCCCGCAGTTTGCAGCGGTTTCAGCTCCCAGCCTGGTGACAAGATCCCAGGAGACCAGTGCTTCCTTCCTTCACCCTTTCTTGGGTTTCCACACTTCCCTCTTTTCGTTTAGACTTAGTATCCTACCTGATGAGAGCTGAGGCCCTTCTGCCCCACATGAAGCACTCACGTGGAAAGCAAATCTCCCTGGTTTTCTCTCTGGGGGCTGAGGGGTCCGTGAATGAGAGGTGGGACCAGACAGTCTTGGGGAAAAGGGGTCCTGCTCACCGCCACTGCAGAACGTACCTTTCCAGAGATAAACCTGCTGGAAGCTGGTAACGGTGTTCCGAGTTCCCTCCGGGGGTGTCAGGCCTGCAGTGGAAGACATTTATTTCTGTGAGCCTGAGCACATTTGCTCTGCCTAGAGACCCGCCATGGCCACACTGCATCGCCTCCCCCATGTCCTGACCCCAGACCTTGAGAGCTCTAATTCCCACACAAGGTATACCCCAGAAAGAGCCTTGTGGAGTAGACCCACATCCTTGGTACAAAACCACAGTTGGTCAGACACCAGATGTCTTGCTCAGGGCACCAAAGGGACAGTTGTGGTGAGGGGATATGAATCTGTGACATAGAGAATCACTTAAGGAAGTAGGGATTGGCTTAAAGAGCAAAGCTCATTGGAGACTAGAGCACCGTGTCAACTGTCCATGTCACTTAAGTCCTTTGAGACTCCTGCCCTGTTGGCAAATGGGGACAGTAATTGTGAGGATGGAATAATGCTTAGGAACTATCTCCTGCAGTCCTCAACATTTGATATGCATGCTATGATTGGCAGGTACCATCATTTCATTTATTACTAATATTATTATATTTTCTTTTCTGCCAAACTACACTCCTCTGCATGCCACCCTTGGGTGAGACTGGGTTTGCCACACCGTTTCTTGATGGGGGGGAGAGGGGGTTGCCTCTCCTGCCTCTGTTCGGCCCTGAGATCCTGTGATAAGAAAGGCTGAGAGCAGAGCTCCAGAAGGGCAGGTGCTGGAGGCAAACAGCCCCCTGCTCTGTAGGAGACGCCGGCACACAACCCGAGACATCTAGAAAGGATCACATTCAGTTGTCAGTTATCATTAAGAGTCATGTATTATTACAGCCCCCTATTATTAAGGTCTATTTCCATTTGCCCAACACTTGAGTGAGCATCGTCCAGATACTGTCTAATTTAAACCCAAGGTTTGGTATTTTTGTTCCTAATTTCCAGATGAAGAGCAAACTCCAGAGGTTAACACCAGAATCCAAATCCCCCACGTGTGGCTCCGTAGCCCATGCTCTTAACCACCATAACAAGGAGAGGATAACATGTCGCAGAACTCTGTCCTTCCAAACTGGCAAATACTTGTAAGGCTTTTGTGTTTAGAAGGGTGTTTAAGGAGGTTTAAAGAGCTTCAGTTAAACACTGAACTACTTGGAAAACTCAGCTGTGAATGTAGTGAGTCGCCCCCACCCAAACATGATCATGTTCTATGCCGTAGGGATGAGCTGGAAATACTGAGTCACAATTCGGTTTTGCTTCTGAAATGGGAATAAACAATGAGGCTAGAATTTCTCAGACTGCCTAATATTAGGATAACAGGTTTCCTTAAAGGACCTGTTCGTAATTCTCTCCTAACCTGCTTCAGAGGGAGGAAGGCTTTATAAAAATTTGGGGAAGTGAAGGCCTGTAATATCTGGGAAACCTACACTTGGTTCTCTGAAAATTTTGGTACTTCTTCTACCTGCTATGTAGGGGACCATCCCACATACCCCTATGACACCACCAGAGAAGGGCCATCTGCTCGGCCTGTGTTGTTTGCACTATCCTCTCGTGACACATTTGCTTAGTATGAAGGTCAGGCTGGGGAACTTCGGATTTTGTCACAAGGGAAATCAGAGAATTTTTCTTCAGTGTTTTTATACCCATATCTGTTTAGCATACTGACTCTTTAAAATGATAAATAGATAGATAAGTAGATACATAGATATTTTTTGGTAACATGTAAACAACATTTTCAAAATAGTTTAGGCCATACATTATGGTTCTTATTTACCTGTGAAAGTAGAGAGACAAAACCTTATCTCTAGGGTTTTTTCAGTCTCAAATCTAAGACCAAAACCAATGGCCACTTGAAGAAATTATTCACAATGGGATAATATTGAGCACTGAGATGATGGACCCTCAATAACTATCAGCTCACATCCTCATTCTTGTCCCTTTCCAAGGGCAACAACCCTTTAGGGAATTCCAAGAGGAATGTCCTCACCACTCAGCAGTCCCCTTTTCTGACTTGGGTGAGTTGGGGAGCCTTTCACATTTTTTAAAACATCTTGACAGATTTTGTCTGGTATATGTGTCCTGCTTCACATAGAGCAGAAAGGAAAATCATATGTGCCTCCAACACCCAGAGAAAAGTGGGTGCTGTGCGTGGGAGCACACAGGTCTCACACTGTTTGCGACCAGAATGCACTGAACCAGGAGAGGAAGCAGGGTCTTCTGATACATTTTTTTTTCCATCTCAAGGCAAGTGAGCCCTGTGCCTTCCAACCTGGGACATACCGTGAGTCTTAACCGTAGCCTTGGTTTTTGCTCACTTCAATGTACTTTAATCCAATGGAATTCAGGTAAACTCAGCACACGAATTTTGAGCATGTTGGCTGATACAGATTACCTGACCAGCACCTACAGATTATTGGGTCCGGGGAAGCATCTTTACTACAAAGAAAGTTACAACCCCTGGGTAGTTTTAACTATTGAAATGATTGCCAAGCCCCATAGGAATGCACAGAGAACACTGAGGTCGAAGACATGATGCCTATTTTCCTGTTATCTTCATCATGACTTATGCCCGTGTCCACATCCTAACACACCGCCTCCTATGCTTTCTAAACAGCTAATGGTACCACTGCTTCCTGGTCACCCAAGCTCACACTTGCCTGGTCACCCTCCCCCCTGCATCAGTCTCCACATCCAAACTGTTGCTAAACCCACTGCCTCCTTGGAACACATGCTCTTAGCTGAACCTTCTTCACATCTTTTAACATCAGTAGACTTTGACTGATCCCCGTGACTCTCTCCCACCCCTCAGCCACACAGCAGCAGGATATTCTTCCTGAAAGGTAGGACTACCCACAGTCTTTCAACAGCTACCAGATTTCAGAACTCATGCCTTACGATCTGCTTCTTGAGAGTCTGAGCAGCCTCATGCCACTCCAAGATGCCTGTCTTCCCAGTCTCAGCTAATTCTTGCTTTCAGGGCTCTGCATCAACGCATGAATTTTTTCTCTCTGCCCGGAACCCATGTCCCCTTTGACTTGCTTAACCTCTCCTCATTCTGTAAGAATCAGGGCCTGTATTACCTCTGCCCAGAAGGCATCCCTGAGCCCTCTGCCTGAGTTATACGCCCCTCACAGGGATTTGCAGAGCATGAACAAACACATCTGTCTTTACTCTCACACTTGACAGTAATTGTTCAGCTCCTTAAATGACCTTAAACTTAAACTGGCGTTTCCTGAGGTTGGGAAGGGGCCTTATTCTTCTTTATATCACTCACAACTAATATAAAATCTGCTACAGTGCTGGTTTTCAGTATATTAATGAATACACAGAAAAAGAAAGAGGAAAAGAGAACAACTGATGAGATTCAGAGCCCACCAAATAAATGCAGAGTCTTATCTGACCAACAACAAGAGGCCTGGGCACCAGACCAGTTTTCCTAATGCAGATCTCTGATCCTTCACTCTATTGCCCACAATTTCCCCAGTTGAATATTGTTGATTTTAAGAAGGTACATAGAACAGAAGCAAACATAATTCCTCCTCTTCACTGCTAAACGGCATTTTAAGACAGGACGCTTTAGACTGTCCAGACATCTGTTTCCATGCCTTCCCTGACAGCTGAATTAGAATATCCCCCCAGAACACAGGCCACCAGACTCCACCTCATCACCGCTCTCTCTGTAATCAAGGCTGCAGGAACACATACACATTTACAACTTTGGGGGTTTGGCATGCAACCTGATTCTTGAGGCTTGATGGCTGTTGTGTAGTCTCAATTTGCTTCAGAATGAGGGAACATTTAATATGTCTATTTTTCATTCATTTGCACTTTAAGACACTGTCAGAAAGGAGCCACATGCAGTTCCAGAGTTTTCTAAGCCTTTTTCCTTTGAAATAGGAACATCAAACCAGCCAATACCAAATATTTGAAAAACATCCAGAGACGCCCATTGGAAGTTTGGGAGCTGCAGACCCTGGGTGGATTCCTCTCTGAGAGCACACACAATGAGAGCTCTCTCTTGAGAGCAGGCACAAAGGTTAGACAGAAATTGATGACAGGAGAAAGAAACCTCAGAGCCAGGAAGAGTATTGTGCCTTCACATTGCTTAAGATTAATGGGGTTGTTTGTGGGTGTGGTTATTTGTTGTGGCTGGTATTAGAAGTCAGCCCTAAACTCCTGTAGAGCAGGTGACCTAGAAGGGGTTTGGTTAGCTTATCAAATGGGAGAGATGAGCTCACGGGGCATTCTGTGTCCCACAGTCCTTTATCAGTCTGCTGAGACAGGCAAACTGGGGGCCTCCTGTACCTTAATAATTGTCATATCTGTCACCCCAACTAGCCTATGTGCTCCTTGAGAGCAGGAACCACTGTACCCCTCTCTGTACTCCAGCAGCACTTGGCCTGGCACTGCACACCAAGCAGGTTCCCAGGATGTGTGATGGATGAGAGGGCCAACTACTCCCTTCTGTGTCTGTTTATGCACTGCCCAGCTCAACTCCACAATGCACACCTGATCCTCCAGTCGGACCTTCTGTCCCCTTCTCTCCATAGCTCTTTAAAATCCTCAACCTAGAACATGCTGGTAGCTGACATTAATGACCCAAAGTCTGGAGCATAGCAGGCTCCAGAGAGCTGTCTAAGGAGTTAAATTCTCAATTACTGACTCTTTAATTTACTAGTACAATACAAGGGTAGGTCTGAGGCACTTTCTGCTCCCAGTAAATTACATGGGGGACCATCAAAGCAAAAACTGACACTGAGGGGTGTGGTGGAGAGCTTCCACTGACCTCTGTGGTCTCTAAAGCTTAAGTGTGAAGTCCCAGCTATGGCACTTAATGCAAAGATAGTTTCTTTAAAACATGTTATGGGTCTGAAATTTTCTCCTGGATAAAACAGTGATATAACCAACTGCCTCCCCAGAGTGTCAAAAGGATCATTTGAGCTTATGGGTATGAAAGCGCTTTGCAAAAAGCAAAACAGATGTTGACATGTTTACTCTTTGAATTTAGTGTATCCACTGGGCTATAATTTCCTACAACTGGCAATCAGTTCAGTCACACTTTATAAGTAAATGCTAATTCCCCATTAACAAGGCCACCTGCTGAACAAGACCCTCTCAGTACTGATCAGTAAAGTGGCTGTCCAGACCAGAAGTCCTACAGTGCACCTCTGCTGAATGAGCAACTGGGAGACCAGGGACTTGTTTCAGAAAACAAAGCCTTAAACTATAGCCTGTAGAGCGTGTAGGCACTTCATATAAAACAGCATGCTCCAGTTTACAGATGGAGACCCTGAGGCTCTGAGTAGTTAAGTGCTCTGAACAAGGCCATAGAGCTGAGGGAGAAAAGCAGGATGATTCAATACCAGTACTTTAAATGCAAGCCACTGTTCTAGGGTGCCCAGTATCTACTGAGCACCCACCTTGCTCTGGGTGCTAGGCCAAGTGCTGCACATGCATTTCTCCTTCCATCCTCCCTCTCTACGAGTCCAAAGTCATCATTCTGCATTTTATAATTGGAAAGACCAAGACCCATGAAAGTCATACAATGAATTAACATTCACACTGGGATTTAAATCCTGGGCTCTGATGCCAATCTGTATCTTAATGACCAACTAGCCAATTGCTAAATGGGAAGGAAAACTCTGGCCCTCAACCCACACTGGAGGGTTAGAGTCCACCTTCACTGTCCCTGGCCCGTTCCCATGTACTCTCAGTCCGTTCTGTGGACTCCCCTTCAGTTGTCCTGATCCCTGGAATCCTCACTCTTCTTTCCCTCCACCAATAGCTCCTGTTAGGAAAGGGAATCTATCAGCTATACACACTTTAGTAAGAATTTTAATCATGTTTCTTTTCCCAGGGATTCACTGTGCCTACAGACTCTTATTGTGGAAGGATTTATGTCTGCTCTTCCCAATTGGAGGTGGCCTCCTGATCAGTCTGCACATAAAGCAACCTTCAATTTGGGGCGTGATGAACATACCTCAGGTTGTCTGCAATCCCCGTCAAAGGGTACCCTCCTTAAAGCTTTGCCTGCACCCCAAAATATACACATATACCCAGGGCATTGGGAAAAACAACTCCAGAAGTCACTTGGCAATCACTCCATCTCAGGGAGGCCACACAAGGGCACAGGCTTCATTTCTTGGGCACATACCAAGCACACGCTCTAGGATAAGCAATTCACTCCGGATTTACTGCCCATGAACATACCATGTGCCTTTCTTCAACCCCCGTTTTCACCCTGGGCTACCTCTCACAGTAATGGATACCATATGTTTACTATCCATCATACAAATAAGCTATTTGATTTGATTTACCCCAAAAGAAAGTAAGCTTCATGGAATTCCATCTAGTTCTACAATGTTTTTATCCAGGCTTTGGTAAATACGCACTCCAGAGATATTATGTATGTTCTCTATGCCAGGTTTTAAGCTTGATAGTTTAAATTCAGAAATTAATAAAACATGGTACAGTTCTTAAAATATAGCAAAAAGCAATGACAAAAATTTTTAAATGATAATAATAATATCATCTAATATTAACACTATGTGGCAGACACTCTGCTAAGTTCCTCACATGTATTATCTCTAAGTGCCAACAGAGAAAAGCAGTTTTAAGTGAAGAAAGCTTGGAGCCAGAGTACCTGGCTTCAGATCCCACCCATTCTACTTGCAAGCTCTGAGATCTTGGGCAGACTTCACTTCTGTGTGCCTCAGTCTCTGCAGCTGTAAAATGGGGCAAATGATAATAGCGGTGCCTCCTTCAAAGCACTGGGTTGAGTATTCATGAGCTAGCAGAGGCCAAGGCCTCAGGGCAGGGCTTGGCTCCTAAGAGGCACCATGGAAGACATTTCTGCTTCAACTCTTACCTTCTCCCTTCATCTGCACCACAGCCCTGGGAGGTGGGTACTGCCATAGGCCACTCAATAGACAAGCAGTTAGGCCTGGAGACATTTATTGACTTGCTCAAGGTCACACAATTGGTGACAAGCAAACTCGCAGTCAGCTAGTGGGAAAAGCAGACAGGCGAAGGCACAGCTCCAGGGCACTGCCCACTGCACTGCACTCCTGGAACGCACGGAGTGGGCATGAGCTCCACAGAGGATGAAATAAGCTCTGTCGAGTAGTCAGGGAGGGCTCCTGGAGGAGGCATTGAGCTCTCTGCTGTTAGAACCCTGAGAGCTGCAGCACGCTGAGAAGCGGATCTTGGAAACTTCTCCAGGAGGGAGGAGACAGTCTCTCCAGCCTCCAAGGGCTCCTGCCAAGACCACCTTTTTGACCTCCCCTCCATGCCCTTGGCTTCCCTGTCTAGCTGACACCTGCACGTGCTTTCACCCTTCCTCTGCAATCCAGAGAGTAGACTGGAACCCCAGGCTGGCACACGAACAGAGCAAAGAGGCAGTAGGACAGAGCTGGGCTTCCCCCAGCCTCACACTAGAGCTGGAAGGAGTGAGCACCAGGCCCTCTTCGCGCCATAAACTCTGACTCTTCAGGTTAAAAAGAAGCATCCAAGTCACCTAGTCAGTGCTTCTCAAACGCAGTGGGCGGGCGTAGCTTTACCCAGACAGCTTGTCAGAACAGACTCCTGGGGCTGCCCTGGGAGCCTGGGAGGGGCCTGAGAATGTGTTAGTGCCTCGGGCGATGCTGAGCCTGTGGTCCTGGCCTGGTAGTCGGGTGTGGTCAGTCCCCAGCTCAGGGACTGCCCTGATGGAGACCCACTGACAGGGCAGCACAGGACTGAGTGCACAGACAGGTGGTCTGACTGGCCACCATGGGGCCTCGGGTACTAACGCCCATCCCTGTAACATGAGGGGGAGGGCAGGTGATCTCAAAGGTGACTTCAGTGCTAATGCTTGTAAGTGTGGAAATGGGTGGAAGAGCTTCCAAAGGGAGGGGAAAGAGCAAGTTCAATGATTATTTCCCTCAACTGAGCCCATGGAATGGGCCCACAGTCCCATGCACGCCTGTAATTAGAATGGGCAGTGCAACTGGTACTGCCTGGAATTTCTTAACTCAGAGGGGGGAATATGCCCTAGGGGCACTGGTTTTATGGACAGATCATATTTTTGGCCCTGGTTCTTCACACATTTTGCACAGGACTTTGCCTTTCCTGCTACTAAAGGGACAGAGTGTATTTCCCCACCCCTGGACTTTCAGTGGGGACGTGTGATCTGCTGTGGCCAATACGTACAGCAGAGTGACAGAGCCAAGCCTCAACCTTTACAGGCCTGGCTGTTTCCTTTGTTGTCTCCCGCTTCTGCCATCTACAGGAGAACGTGCTCATCTCGGAGAATGAGAGAGACAAGAAGCAACGCCAAGCCATCGCAGCCAAGTCCAAACAAGATCAGCCAGCTGCCAGCTGACCCCCAGATGGCAAGTGAGCCTGGCTGAAACCAGCAGAGCGGCCCAGCTGAGCCAGCCAGCAACCAGCCAACCTGCAGCCTGGAGAGTAACTCAGTGCTTCTTGTGGAAATCAGTGCTGCTGAGATGCTCAGGCTGTTTTTTAGGTAGCATTTTTGGTTCCGTTTCTTTTCAAAAGTACATATTCCTCAGGGGATGGAGAGGGCTCAGAAAGAGCAGCAGAAGACCATGCTGGTGAAGAAAATTAATTTTGAAGAAACATGGGCAGAAGGCAGACTTACCCTTGAACTCCTGGCCTCCCAGACGCAATGTCATCTGGCGGCTCCCCTGGTCATAGATCACACCAGGACATGTAGCGTTAGGCGCGGCTTCAGAGGGATCCCTCCAGTCGTTGATATTGCAAAGCAGGACATCAGGGGAGCTCAGCAACCCACAGATGATGGGACCTGAAGAGTCACGAAGGGAGGAGAGGTTGATGTGATGGAGAACAGCCAGGGCCCCTGGAGAGACACATATCTGTGCCCTGAGAGGCTTGTAACAGGGGGACAGGTAACAACTCCTTGGGAGTGGACAGAGACACTGGAACTCCAAAGCCTGACTTCACATGGAATTCTTTCCTGAATGTCCTGCAGTTGTCTTACTGGTAACTGCCAAGGGGAAGGCCACCCACATGCCCACTGAGCTTTCCTTCCTCTATTAGAGCCCCTCTTCATGGGTCAGCAGCGGTAACATCTCCAATAACACCTGGGGCTTCCTGCCAGACTCTTCTGTTCCCATTTTCTACCCCCACTCAACAGAGTCAGCTTTTTGAGGCTTCAAGGAAATAAATGGCAGGTTACCCACCCTTCTGATTCTTACACACACACACACACACACACACACACACACACACACACACACACACAGAATATAAACCTTGAAGGGACTCAGGAAGGAATATTTAGATTAAAAGTAAGAAACTATTAAAAACCAAGAGCTGTACACCAAGAACCCAAGCTCCCTATTAGGAAGTGAGCCCCTTATCTCTGATGTATCCAAGCAGAGGCTGTGTGCCCATACACCTAGGATGTGCAGAGAAAAATCTATAACTAGGAGAGGCATTAGACTATTTCATCTAAAATACATCTTCTAACTTGGAATTTTAAAAAGCTGTGCTATAGTTATGACTTTATTTAGTATTAGGAAGATCTACCCTTGAGCTAACTGATTTGATAGTGACTTTAGTTAGATAAACGTAAATAACTCAAATGTTTTGGACGTCTGTAATGTGCCAGCTCCTACAGTAAATGCTTTAAGAATATTAATCCCCTTACTTCTTATAGACATTATCTCCATTTTACTTGTGAAGAAACTCGGTCTCATATAAATTAATTGCCCATATTTACTGATATCTATAGATCAGGTATTTTATATACCAGTTACAGAAATAATTTTTCCTGTTTGGTAGTATAGTTGTTTAGATGCTACTGTAAAAAAAAAAGAGAGAGAGAACTATAGCACCCCCAGCTCCTATTCCCTTTCACATCCTAGGTTATGTGCCAAACCAGACAGAGTTTGAAACTCATCTCTCACTAAAACTTCCCCAAAGTAGATGACTCATGGATGTCTGGCTTCTGAATATGACATTGCATCCTCCCTCCCACTGACCACTTGTGACCTGCAGGAATTAAGTAAGGAGAAGCAAAGGGGGCATCTCTGTGGAAATAACCACCTTAGAGGTCATCTAACTGGTGGGCCTCCCACCAAGGCACCTGCACTGGTTGGATCAGAAGCACAGGGAAAGCCTGAAAACGCTCCGTCCTCGGCACCAGCCACAGAGGGGACATTTGGGAATCAGTACTGTAAACAGCACCACAGGTGATACCAGTGCGGTACAGATTCCAGAATCCCCAGCCTGTTTAGACCACTTCACTTCACAGAGAAGGAAACAGGCCCAGACAGGGAGAATGGCTTTAAGTTAGAGGCACAGCCAGCAGGCAGCGAGGCCTCAGCCAGGCCCAGACTGAGTCACGGAGGACCAGGGGTGCAGTGAGGCCTGCTGAGACCCCACCTGAAGACAGAGCTCTGTGGCTGCCCCCTCACAGCCAAAGAACAGAACCAGGGGATTAAACAAGAGGCAGGGGCTACTTTTCCTTCTGTTCTCAGACCTCAGAAAAGAAACATGCAGCTTTCTTTAAACTAGAGCTAAAGTGTCAACAAGAATTCAGCATGTCTGAGAGGTGGGCACCAGCTAGAGATTGGACTTTGCTAATCACATACTGCCAGCTTCGATTACAGTCCCAGGATGAACCTCAGAACACACAAGTCCCTCTGGACCCCACTTCCAAGTAGCTTCACCTGAAATGTAGGTACAGAAGCCACACAAATTTTCAGTAGTTAACTACCGGTGGAAACAAAGCCATTTAGGGGCTGGAATTAGAGGAGGCTGGACTGCTGCTGAGGTAAAGGTGGGGAGCAGGGAGGGGAATCTACTGAAAGTTAAGTGACTTTCCAGACACCATGAAAGGATGTTCTGTTCCTGGTCATCAGCAGATCCAGCCAAAGCTTTATAAGTCAATACTCCAAATCTGTCCACCAGACAAGACTGGGAAAAACATCTGCCTGATGTTTTATGCATGTCTTGGAGAGCGCTTTACTTGCAGCCTTTCAGGGTGGTTGTCCAGCCCAACATAATTCACAAATCACAGGTTACACACGGAGGGAAACAGCAAGCAAGCTGCTAGCCAGAGCTGTCATGGAGAAAAAGGATTTGGGGGCTGACTGCTTCATGGGGCAAAATAATTCTTCCGCATATGATCCTAAGGAAAATGAAATCAACCTTTCCACCCTGAAAAATCACAGGGTCTGGTGAGTACTCAAGCATCTGGGGAAACTGTGGTGTCCTTCCGAAAAGACATTTGGTTCAAAGCAGGCAGAAGGCATCCTGGATTTGAACTGCAGTGCTGCTAAATGTGAATGTGTGAATCCCAGCAGGAATATTAGATCTCAGCTTACTCCAATTCAGGTTCCTGCTCTCCCACTCCCACAAAACATCCTTATGCGTCCCAAGGGCTGCGAGCCACCTCAGCATTTTTCAGTAAGCACCTTGTTTGAATTCTCAGCAGCATTTGAAACCGCTGACGAGCTTCCTTCATCCTTCAACCCCCTCCACCCTCTCCACATCATCCATGATGTTCTGTCCTCTTGGTCTCCACCACGATGACCAGCTGCTCATTCTCTCTCAGACACTCTACCCATTACGTAGGCGTTCACTAGGGATCTGCCCATCCTCCCTATCTTCCCACCCTGCACCCCTTGCCCAGGAAATCCTATCTGCATCCTCACCTCTAAAACATGTCAATGCTATGCTTCACACGTTTCTACCTTTGCCCAGACTTCCCCTCTGACCCCTGGATCTTTGTATCCAAAAACTTGGTCCACATCTCGAGAATGTCTTAGAGGCACTTCAAACTTAGCATACCCCAGACAGACTCATGACTTTCCCAACCTGCCTCTTCCATCACAAAATCCAACATCTGATGACTTCTTTTATTTGCCATATAGCAAACTATTCAACCACACTACAAGCCCCTCAGCCACGAGGATCTTGGCCACCTCTTCCTTCTTCAGCTATGGTATCCGAAGTCATGTTGATTTTGCTTCCTACAGATATCTTGAATCTGTCCCCTTTTCTCCCTGTCCACGGCCGTCACCCTGGCCCAGGCCCCCGTCCCTCCTCCCTGAATGGCTATGGTAGTTCCTAACTGAGCTCTGTGTCTACTTGAACTCCCTTTACCATCTGCACAGTCAAGCAAAAGCACTCATTTAAAAATGCAAATCTGATCATGACAGTCCTTTGCTTAAAACTTTCAATAGCTTCCAGTTGTTCTTAGAATACAAACCACCTTAGTGTAATCTACCAGGTTGCATCAGCTAAATAGTCACCTTATGCCTGCAACTTCTCAAGGCAGGCTCCATATCGTTTTCTGCAACTCTGCTGGTTCCGACCTTTGTCAGACCACCGGTCGAGGTACTAGAGGCCCCAGCCCTCACTCTCCTGTCAATTACCTCCTTGGACCTGCACAAGGATGAATCCATCACAGCAGGAATCGCGGTCACAAGCAAGAAGACAGAAGAGATGAACGTCAGTCAGATCAGCTCCTGGGGCTGAGAACACGACGGAGCGGTACATTCCGGAGAGCACATTTTGGAAACCAGTTTGCTCAAAGCTTTTCTGGCTTGTTGTGGTGAATTCTTGGCCTGGGGAAAGGCAGAAACATTTTTTAAAGATCCCAAAACATTTCAGAGTTGACCAGAGTTAACTGATCACACAACAATGGATCTCTGAGTGTGCTAAGGGCAGTATGTGGTCCAAGATGAGATGCTTTCTATGCCATGAAAACTCTGGACTTTCTGTCCATGAAGAGCATGGAACCTCAGACAGCCATGGCCCCAACCAGCAGACCCAGACAAATGCCATCACAACTTTGAGGGTCTAAAGAGAATGTGTGGAGAACTGGCATTTATTATTTTTATTATTAGCAGCAAATATTTACTGAGCTCCAACTGTATACACAGATACCGTGACCTGGGTTTTACCTGCATGACACCATTTCATTTTCACGGCCCTGTGAGTTAAGGTCAGCCAGCTCTGCTATCACAAAGTGGTTTTGTGAATTTTAACTACAAAAATCCTGGAGATGGACCCTTTAAGTTAAGCTGGGCTTTGGTGAAAGATGGTTTGGCCATGTGATGGGCAGGATGCTCACATCATTGGTCTATAGTTTTCCCCAGCATGCACTGTCTTGGGCCACCAAGCAACAGGTGAATGCAGAGCACACAAGCCCAGCAGAATGCAGCTAGCTGCAAGACTCAGGACCACCCATGACGAGCATCAGCCCAGCTCCCTCCTCCGGTCTCAGACTGGCCGCCAGCGCTGTCTTTAAAGTGACGACTACAATTCTCCCTCCCCTGTGCAGGTACATGGCCCTTGTCTCTATAACTCAGCAGACTCAACCTCTGCCTATACCCTCCCACATCAAGCTGCCTTGCCCTTTTACATTACTGAGCATTTCTTTGTGATGAATTCAGTATGTCTTTTTTAAAACTCTCCTGGCATTTTAAATAGGATTGCTATTGTTTTTTATCAATCCTCTAGTTAAAAACAGCATGGTTAGGATTTTGCCTGACCCTAGCTCTAGTTTTCCCATAAGCCCTGATATATTTAGAACATCATTTTGCAAATAGGAGATTCTTCAGGGACATATAAATACACACACACACATACATGTATCAGTATAGTCAAATTTTCTGTTCTGTTCTTATAAACACACACACACACACACACACATACATGTATCAGTATAGTCAAATTTTCTGTTCTGTTCTAACGTCCATTTTACCTTTGAGGAAAGAGCACTGTAACAAGTGAGTGGTGTTGCCTAGGTTTACACAGCTGGTGGGTGGCAGAAGAACACCACAGCCCACGCTTTTCACCACCCTGACCCCCCATCAGCCCAGTGGTTCCCCAGGTCTCAGCCAACTCGTGGACCTGGAAGTAGTGGAGAGGCTCACAGTGTGGGATCCAAGAGCACAAGCTTCAGAATGAGACAGAACTGAGTGCAAACCCCTGGCAAGCAAGCTCCTAATTCCACAGCTTTCCCATCTGCACAATGGGGGTGAGAGTACATAATCCTCACGGATGAGCAGATGAAAGCATACTGTACGTACAACGGCTGAGCAGTGAGCCTGGCACTTAGCTAATGCTCAGCAGGTATTTTAGAGGTCTCCAAAGGCCAGCATCTTCTCCCTCTAAGCATTGGGTCACTCGGCTGCTCCTGCCTGACAGCCCTCTAACTCTGCCAGCCGCCCTGTCATCTTTCACCAAAGCCCAACATAACTTAATGGGTCCATCCCCAGATTTTTGTAGTTTCATCTCTTCCTCTCTCAACTTCTGTTATATTCTGTTTGAGCCTATAACAAAGGCTCTATCAACTTTCACCCTATATATTAAGCTACTTGAAATAGTATCTTCTTCCCCCACCAGCTTGTGAGTGTTTGGAGCTATTCCCTGCTGTCTGATGCAGTGCTCGTTAGCCATGTGTGACCATTCAAGTATCAGTTCCAGCTCGTCACAATTACTGATGCAACAGCCAGATGCCAAGGGCTCGGTGGCCACATGTGGCCACTGGCTATCATTTGGATGGTGAAGATTTGTAGAACATTTTCCTCACAGCAGAAAATTCTATTGGAAAGTGCTGTTCTGCACTGCAGGGCTGTCTCAGCTCCACGTGACACCCTCCACATCACCCTGCACAGAAGACCGCCTGCCCTGATGCCCCGAGATGTGGGCTCCTCCTCAGCCCTCAGGTGTCAGATCCAACATCCCCTCCTCTAAAGTTCCTTCCCTGATTGCCCTAAGGCAGCTCATACCCATCTTTCCTTTCCTTTTTTTAACAGTATAAAATAAACACACATTTTAGCATTTTAGCCACTTTTAAATATGGCATTAAATGCCTTCACGCTGTTGTGCAACCATCACCTCCACCCATCTCTAGAACTTTCTCTACATCCCAAACTGAAACTCTACACCCATCAAATACTAGTTGCCCATTCATGACCACCGTTCTACTTTCTGTCTCTATGAATCTGACTGTCCTAGGCAGCCCAAGTCCATCTTTATCCAAGTGTTCTGTTTCATTTTCATCAAAGCACTTACTACCTTATGAAATGACCTTATTGCTGATCAGTTCCTTTATCAATCAGTGATTCTGTTTTGCTCATCTCTGCACCCAGAGTGCCTGACCATTGCATATCATACCATGGGTGCTCAGTAAACATTTATGGGATGTGCCAGTGCTGAGCTGATTCACACAATGGTCAAATCCTAGACAATGGAGCAGGTCTGGGGGATCTCTCAGAGTTCAGGGAGGCTGTACCCTGGAGTCCCAGGTTAAACCTTGGTAGAGTGGCAAGATGTTTCTCTTTCCAGACCTCATGTGTGAGATGATGAGTTGAGCTGGACAATCTTGAAAAAAACTTCTGATACTGCCTACCTTTGATTCTGAAAAATCACACAGCTCCACCTCCATGTTCAAGGCCACAGACTTTAAGCTGGCTTAGACAAAGGAGGTACTGGAGGCTGGCCCATGCTGTCTCACCTTCCAGGTCACTCAAGGTCAGGCATGTGACTGCCTACTGGTGCCATTTTCAGAAACCATATCCTCTGCTCCTCCCCTGTGATATTTTATTCCCATTTCACAGAAAGTAAAAGAAGTCATTTCTGATCAGAAGAGCTCATAAGAGGGGAGGTGGGGGTCTGAAGCCAGATCCAGCTCACTTCAGCCCCCCCTCCCTCTTCACTCTGCCAGGACCCAGAATGGCTGGGTCTGTGTATTTCCTGCTTTAAAAAAAAAGCAAAACAAGACAAAAAAACCACAAAACATTTCCATCCTGAATTTAGTTTGGCAGCAAGGAAGCTTCACAATTTCCCTTGCAATCTTCCCCCAAAGTATAAATTTTCAGAAGATGAGGGGGGAAAAAAACCTGAAAACAAATATAATTATATTTTTCAACATGTGATAAAAGGCCAAAGTATGGTTTTAAAGAACATTTTTGGGAGGGGTTACTTGTTTTATTTTGGTTTTCCTTTTTAGAAAATAATCTCTATGCTCTGGTATTTTAAAAAATGGGTAGTAAAAATAATTATAATAAACACTGGGGCAGAAATTCTAGTAACTCTGGCCAAAGATCACAGAAAGCCCAGCTCTGCTGGACTCCATTCCCCCAGGGGACCCTCCTGTAAAATAGGATGGAGGGATTTGGCAAAAGAAAGACCAGAGACGAATACACACACACACTCGCCTCTGCGGTGGGCTGAGGACTGCCACAGAGGTCAGATGAGACTTGTGCCTGGGCCATGGCATTGTCTCCACTAGCCAACATCTATTTGCAACACAGGTCTGAAGCTGCTGGGAGCCAGGCGACCTGACCTGAGTTACAGACCCAAGAGAATGACATGCCTGCCACCCTGCATTCCAAACCCCAAACCCTTGTTCAGGCCCCCTTGGCTGTCTTCTGATGCACAGCCTTAGCCTTGGGACATCAGGACACATTCTGTCGAGAAAGAAAACGATCAAAGAAATCAGCACTTGCTATTCACCACACGTGCACTCTGTTCTAAAGGCATCATGTGTGTGACCTCATTTCAGCCTCCCAGCCTCCTCAGTTCATTGTGATTCCTGTTTTACTAGTGAGGAAAGGGAAGTCCAGAATGTCAGAGAACTTGCATGAGGTCACACAGCCAATGCATGCAGAGCTGGGGCCAACCCCAGCAGGAGGGCCAGCCTCCTCACCCTTCACCGCAGGCGGGAGGGCCTGTGCGCAGTGACCAGCGAAGGCGGCACTGCTCACAGGGAGCCTAGCTTGACCTGCACTGCCGGTGCCTCTCTTGGCTGGAGGGAGAGAAGGCAGCGTGCCAGCAGGACAGGGCAGGAGAGTCGAGGCTGTGGGGTTCTTGGGAGACTCACTGCTTCTCCCCCACTTGCTACAACCACGAAGAAGTGTTTGCTTCCCTGCCCCCACTCCAGGAAGCCAAGCAGGGGAAATTCAGACACATGTAGGTTCAAATCCAGCTCCCAGTGTATTAATGGTATGACCTTGGGAAACTCTCTTAATCTCTCTGAGCCTCAGTTTCCTCATCTGTTAAACTGGGGTCATGATCCCTTTTTTTGCCTTCTTCCAAGAATTCCTGAGGACGGAGTGAAAGGATGTACAGGGAAGTGAGCTATTAACTGTGACATATGACACACCCTTGAGTGGTCCAGACCAGCAGCTTGGGCATGCCAGGAGGTTAATTTGAGAGGCAGAATCTTGGCCCTACTCCAATTTACTGATTCTGAATCTGTGTTTGTACAAGCCCCCCAGGCGATGTGCATGCACAAGGCAGGAGAAGGTCCTGGGCACTGGTGCTGAGGAAGAAAGTTTTGGGGATCTGGACTGGCTGTGAGAAGGCCCGACAACTTCCACACCTTCCAGAGAGGGTGGGGACCAAAGGGAGAGAAGCTCAAAGCTCCTTGTGTGGGGACCCAGATGGGGCAGGTGCAGGGAACTCAGAGCCCAGGCCCCTGCCAGGGATGCCCACCCTGTGGGCAGCTCAGGGGTTGCCAGCGCAGGCAGCACACGGTCTGGACCCAGCAGGGTGCTGCCTGCAGCTTCTGTGTCTGCTCCACAGCATGGCTCCTCACCTGCAGGATGAGACCCCCCAGTCCCTTGCGCTAGGGGCACTTTGGCCCCTCCCTAAATGCACTTGCTGGGAAGCAACTTCACCAAGGCCCAGAGCCACTCAGTTCAACCAACTTACCCTTTTTCAAGTATACATCCAGGGAGCCCTGACTCCTCACTTTCACCTGGCATCTAAGACCCCCAAAGCCAGTGGCCTTCGAGTTCCCCAGCATGTCTTTATCCTGGAGGTAGAAAGAGGCTGTGTCATCATCCTGTGATAGTTAATTCAATTCAACAAACATTTACCAACTCTAACCATGGCTAGGCACTTGAGTCACAAAGATAAAAATGCTAAGATTCCTGGTCATTAGTTTCTCCATCTATTAGAGCACATGACATGAACAAAGCAAATTCTAACCCCCAAGTGCTGGCTGCAAAGACACATGTAATTCGAGAAGAGGTAATTACAGAAGAGGGAGTGATTCATTCTACTGAGAAAGGGGAGCTAGAACAGTTTCCCAGAAAAAGTGTACTGGGTGGGTTACTGACGTATGAATAAGAGTTCATTGGGGGGAAATAAGAGAAAGGGGATTTTAAGCAGGAAACAGCAAAAATGGAGACAAGGAATTCTATGGTGTTTTGAGGACTAGGTCTAGCAGTTCTGGGGACTGTCAGTTATGAGAGGGGGAGTGGTGGGAGGAGAGAGAGGCTGGAGCCAGCTCATGGAAGACCTTGGGGGCACACAGCTTTTACCCAGTGAGGGTCAGGGGAGGTAAAGCTTGGACATGAGATCAGGCCTCCAAGGATCTTGCCATTCTCCCTAATTTCTGTTCTCTTTTCTTGACTATGTCCAGCACTCTTGCTGTGTGGGTGTGGAAGGGTAAATCTGGTTTTATCAATTTGGGCTTTTTTCCCAGTGTATTACCTTCACCCTCCAAGTTGCCTGACTTTGAGTTTCCTGGCTGTGGGAATTTCGGAGGGCAGGGACTAAAGCGAAGCTATTTGAAGGCAACTACTCTTCTTACTTTTTAGAAAACCTGAACTCACTGAAGGGATGATGGCCATGGGAGGGAAGGAGGGCCCTTGAGAAGGAAAGATTTCTATAAACCCGACAACTTGAGCTGTGGGACCTAGACTACAGGCCCTGCCCACCTGAGGTTAGGACCTGGGGAGGGTAGGGCAACTGTCAGCTGACAATATACCTTGGGGAGGCGGGTAAACCCAAAGCATGGAGCTCCTACCTTGGCAAAGAATCCCTTCCACACCTCAAGCCTGGTTCAAATACAATGGCGCCAGTGGGTTGTAGGGTAGTAGGGTTGGGAATCAAACCCAGGCGGCCTAGCTCCAGAGCCACCTTCTTAACGACACTCCCTCTAGGAGTGTCTCTCATATGGACTGAGAGGTCAAATGTAGGGTTCGTTCCTTTTTTGTTTTGTTGTTAATGACGAAGTGTTGTGTTTCTTGTACACTAAATTCCGTACTGACTAAAGAAGCAGCTGTCAGGATACAGGAGGATGAAAGGATCAAAAATCTAACTCATTTGCTCAGAGAAATGCCAGGTGCTTAGTAAGAGCTCAGTAAATGTCAGCTCTTTTTGTTATTATTAATTCTAAAAGCTGGTTCTAATCCCTTAGGGAAGAAGGAGAATTTCTTCAAGTCAGAGATTCCCAATGATCTGACAGCTGCCTAGGGAGCACTCTCTCTGATCACTATGACCTCAGACCCCTCAACCACAAAGGACCTACGGGAGGTCTGGACAGAGGAGTCCAGTTAGAAGAATCACTTCACCATGGACCAGCCAGGACGAGGGGCAGCCCCTGGAAGGCTCAAATAACAAATAAATCCAGCTGCTCTGTGTCTGATGGCAGAAGGGCAATGCCAGACCATGCGCTCAGGCCAGGTGGTAACGGTAGAGAGTGCTCGTGGAGTGTCACCACCCAAAAGCCTTACCTCCCTCTGCCCACCCTTGGCCCCCGTTTGCCATGATGTATCTTAAGCCTGGGCAGAATCATAATAGCGATAAGAAAATAAAGGCACTACCATCCTCCCCAAAGTGCTTTAACCTTTAAGCTTAAAAAAAGCTAACATTTTCTCGACAGTATACTGTGTGTCTTGTGTTAGCTCCTCATATCCTCACCAGAAGCCTTCGAGTTAAAGACTCCTCTTTACAGTTGAGGAGATTGAGGTTAAGGACCCCATACATGATCTAACAGCCCCAAAGTAACAGGATTGAGAGCCAATCTGAGACCCACTACCTCTTCTCTAGTTCGTGCAGCTCAGACCCTGGCTTGAGTCCCAGGATTCAGTCCCTAATGATTAAACGCTCACATGCAAGCACAGGTATGTGAACAAAGGGCCTGTGAGTAATGTTGCAACACTGCTAACAAATCCACATCCTTCACACAGGCGACAAATAATGTATCCAAAGAATGGATCGACATGCTGCCATTACAAAGAACAAGGTTCATTTTAAGATACAGAAAGTTATGTATTATGTCAGAAAATCAAGGTAGGAAAGCATATGTATCACTAAATACAACCATGTAAACAAACCAAGGAACAGATACTTATAAACACATAAAAGTTTTCTGGAAGGATCCATATGAAACTGGAGAGTAAAGATGGAGATCTGCACATGGGTAGGAGTTAGGAAGTTAGGAGAATTGGTTTTCACTGCCCTTCTGTCCTAACTTCTTCTAACAATGAAATTGCCAATACTCGACCAGCTTTGACATAAAGTAACAGCAATTTCATATGGGTCTAACTAACATTTAACTTTTTTCTTTTTAAGCCATAATTGTATTTTACTTTTACAGTGGCAAGGAATGGTCCAGGACTCAGAGGGACAGATGCTATGCAGGGCTCTGTACAATTCCCTCATTTCCAGTGGCCAGGCCACCCAGTGAGGTGAGCCACTGGGAACAGAAGGCGAGTGCTTCTCATGGAAATTCTGTACTACCTATTGTCCCTACTGTCAGGACACAATACTCCTGAGATAAACGTCCCTTATGTCAGCTTCATCCCGAGCCGTCTCCGGTCTCCTGCAGTTCCAAGTGCCCAAAGTCTCATCACTTTGAAGAAATGGAGGCAACCTGGGATCAGCTGCTGACAATCTCATTCTGTCACCTCATCAGCCTGGTGTCGATTCAGGCCTAGTTATGTCTGACACAGAATGCACAGCAGGCAGATCCACCACACGGCTGCCACACGCACCTGACCAGAAGTTGTGCAGGCAAAGTTGTCACTTGTCCAAGCATAAAAATCACAGGAGACTTCTGTTCCCACCGTGGACACTGTGAGGAAGCTGCAGGCCTCGTCCAATGCACAGTCTGCAAACACCAGGGGACAGTCACTACCCTCTCTCAAGGAGGCCAAAGATAGACACATACCCCCATCACAGCCCCCAATATGCTCAAACACACCCACACACCCTGCAAATGCACTCAACTGTAACACAGACAGCAATGACTAGACATGGACTGTGAGATAATCCTTGTAAAAATACATGCTCAATAAATGGAAGTTGTTATTACCCCTTTCTGGCCTCAGGGTCTATAGGCAGACATATCTCCTGACCTGCACAAGGAACTAATAACCCTACTAGGAACTAACATCCTCATTTCTGTTCCCTAACATCTAGCATAGCATTGTTCTTGGCATACAGTAGATGCACCACACATGTGGAAGTGGAATTAGGAGTTGACCATACATCTGAGGAATCCTTTGCAAGTACATCTTTTTCATGGTAGTTTTCATGGCTTTATTGGATTTGTCTTTCCAGGATCGGGAGTGGGTGTTTCTATACCACTCACCATCTCCCCACCACCTCTTACCTGCCAAGCACTGCACGAGCGGGGACTCGTTAGCAGGGACTTTGGACTTGACCACCACAGCAACGTCGGCATTGAAGACCACCTTCGATTCTGGAGCCTTCTCGAATTTCTGCATCACTGAAAGAAAAGCAGATTCCATGAAATTTGACTCTGAAAGGTAGAGGGCATTTGTGGAAAAGCCAAGAAGAGTGCTATGTCAAGGAATCACTTCCCACTCGCAGCCTTGGTCACACAAATGTTCCAAGGAGAGAAATTCCCTTTTCAGGCAGTTCCAGCACACTGCCTCACATCTAATGCAGAGAGCTATGACTTACCATGTCTCCTTTTTCTACCTCATTGTCACAAAGTAAGGAGAAAATTTAATATTATGTTAGTCCTTACCGCTGATATTCATTTCCTAGTTATACAAGTTTAACTTGTATGTCCCTGTACTTATCTTGGGTGCTGATTATAGTTTATAATTATTTTATTGAAAATTTTCTTTCCATAGGACAACTTCACTTCCTTCTAGAACGAGGTATTTTAAAAAGATAATGTGCACATTACAGGGTTCATGTAAATCTGAACATGTGTCATGTGACTCGGGCATTTTTATGATGCTCTTTAAGTGACATATTAGCATCTATGTTTCTTGCCACCATGAACACACCTGAGCTCTTATCTGGTAGGAATAACACAGTTACATGCTCATGGAACTAGACATGGGAGAAGAAATCAATATAATTTCTCAAGGCTGTGAGACTTGGAACTCATTCTTCAAGTCATAAGCATTGTGAATAATTCTCAAAGAAAGAGACTCAATTTATAAGGCAAAAATGCCCAAAGGTCAGTATTTTGCATGTAATCATCAAAAAACAAGCCCCAAAGTACATGAGTATTCTTTTTTTGCAGACATAACGATAAACATGCCATGTAAGTCCTTATTCTCATACACATCTATCGCTTTATAAAAGAAACTTGTGTCTAAATTGATTTTTATCGTGTCAGTAAATTCAAGACTATCCAAAGCAATATTTCTCAGCTTTCATAATAACTGCAGAAAAAACGTTTATTACTTTTGGGATGGAGGTGGAGAAAAGAGTGTTAATGTGATAGAAGTGATATGCTGTAAGCCTTCATAAATTTCGATATAGAAAAAAATTCTAACTGATCCCTGAAGTTGCCAAGTTCACATGTCCAGCCTATATTCAGCCCTTCTGCTCTCAACTCTCCCTTTTTTATTTTATATTCCTTGGCATCTTGTTTGTAGAGACTGCAGGCCCTAGTCTAGCAAACACCATGCTAAATTCAGCCCTTTGCCCCTAAGGTTTGATTGGTATAGATAAGAAGCTGACAACATTCTAGGAGACTAAATAAAATATGTGATGTCTTTCTGTTCCTAATTAAAGTCTTCCCAGAGGCTGAAAATGCAGTACTGAGAATATATGAACCTCCACTAGTGAGGAGAGTGACAGATGCTAGTTTCCTGTTTATTGGCTGGATGGATGGATGACTACGGTGATCATTACAACACCAGGAACCCTGGAGAGAGGATCACGAAGATGGTGTAGCTCCAACGGTAAGCATCTACCTCTGGGTACTCAATCTGGTTTATGAAGTCTTTGGCATGGGTCACAAAGACCAGAATTAGAAAACTGGATCCACAGTTAAAGGGAAGATGAACTTGAAGGATTTCAACTGGCCGAGGTCAGTGAGCAAACAACTAACTCGGTGAGTAAATAACACGTTTACCAGAAGCAATATAGAGAAGACCATGGAGCCTACCCTGTAGATGCAGTAGAGGTCAGAGGGCAGCAGTGGGCAGTGGAGAAAGAGCATGAGATTTGGGGTCAGTTCAAATCCTAATGCCACCACCCCTCAGCAGCTCTTTGTCCTGCACATCCACCTCTCACCAGTTCTGTGTCCAAGGGCATGTTTCAATCTTAGAGGGTCCCTATTTCCTGGGTGTGAAGAGTAAACGAAGAACACAGAGCACCTGGAACACAGTCGCAACTTAGTTAAGTGCCAGGTCCCTCTGCAGGGACACCCAGTGTTAGGGCTTGTAAAATTGGCCACAGGAATTCAGGGAGAATCTCCTTGCCTGATGACCTTTAGCCATTAGCTCAAAGAAGCCCATATAATTACAGCAATTCATTCATCTGTAAACAAGAACCAACTACTCTGGACTAAAAAATAAGATACAATTCTAGTCTCAGAGGAGGATACTGCGTAATGACGCTAGGAAGCAGAGGGGAGCTGGAGTACACCATCTCACTCTCCCCTGAGAGTGAAGCAGAACCCCTGAGGAGGTCCAGGGGTACTGCATAAATAGCATTGCCTTCTAGAATATTAGCTTTGAAGCACTGCAGAAAAATCACGGACAGAAGGCAGGACTGGGGCAGGAATATGAATTAGGAAGCAGTAATCCATGTGGGTGGTAACCAGACCTGGACAAACAGCGTGGAAGTGGGGTGAAGAAAGGGCAAATCCCTCTCAGGTACGTACCTGTTTAAGGAATTACATAGCTGACCTCTATACCCTCTACTTTATCTAGAAGAAAAAAGCCTCAAAAGTGAGACTGCACTTCTACTCCCAAAGAGAAAGTTCCTCTCAAAGGCAAGTCAAGAGGATTCTGAGAAGAGGTATGCTGACATCCCACTGGGCACCCAGCTTCTTAACATGGAAATCCTCCTGTGTATCTAGAGAAACTAAGCTCAGAGTTTGGCAAGAGTAGCCACAGATGTTGTGAACCAATCTGGAGGCTACTCATAAGTCAGAACCTCAATTAAACCTCAACTAAAGTTGGCAAAGCTGAGCTGTTACTCATGAATGCTCCTGGTGCCATGGATTAAACTCCTTTCTGCTCTAGAGGAACACAGTGCAGAACAAACCAAGAAATGCTTTACAAAGTATGTATTACAACCTTCACAACTGAGCCACTGACAGGGATGCAAAGCAAAGAAGGCTGGAATTAAGTGCAAGCATTTAGGTGATAATCCCAGATATCCATGGAATCACCAGGGCCCTTGGGAAGGTTGCTTCCCCCAAGGACATCCTCCGCCCCCCCTTTGTAAAGAACAGCAAATATCTGCCGACCTGATCACTTAAAGCATCTTCCAGCTATAACTCCCCTGATGGCTATTTGTGCCCAAGAGAAGGAACACTGGAAAAAATAATTAGACTTTCCTTGGATTTGCAACTATCCATGGACACACACACACACACACACACACACACACACACACACACACACACACATTCAGGATTCATTAGCGCTTTGCTAAAGAAAGGAAATGATTGCTCTGAGCAATAGAAAATGAAAATTTCTCTCTTGGATTTTCTCAGGTGTTTTATGTCATTAGCTGCTTCCCTAGGGAGCAGCCAGGCTATGGGCAAGTGGGAGTGTGCATGTTATATGTGTGTGCAAGTGTGCATGTGTGGGTACAGGTGTGTGTTTAATGAGGAAGCAGACAAATCTACGTAGACAAATTCATGATATGGAAAGAATGGGCTTGGAAGTCAGACATACAACAGTTCACATTCTAGGTATATTATATCCTGACCATGAGATGAAGACAAACCACTTAAATACTCTTTGCCTCAGTTTCCTCAGCTAAATTATTGGGGATCCTAATATTTATCCCTTAGAACTACTGTGACATTTTAATGTGATAGTCTATATAAAATGCCTGGCAGGAGGCCTGGCTCATAGTAAGCCTGCGCATATCAGACCCTCTTACACAGAAATGTAAGAGACTGGCAGCCAGGGCTTGCTCTGGGTCATCAAGTATGCGAAGGTAAGCCTTAGTTAGGACCGCTGGCAGGAAGGAGCTTCCATGGAAAGGTAGAGCTGGATCCTGAAGATGTAGAGACCAGAATTAAAAGGCCTTGCAGATTGTCTTAGCCTGCTCCTGTTTAGCAGATGAGGAAACCAGGCAACAAGTAGTACCGGGTCCTCCACTCGTCCTGAAATATTTTTTATCCCTGTCAGGCATATCATTGCTAACACACTCAGCTCCCCTCGAAGGTAGACCTTAGCATCCCCATTTTACAGATGAGGAAAATGCTGAAGGTAAGTGACTTGCTCAAGACTTCACAGCCAGGAAAGGACACCTTTGAGATTAACTAATTCTGTTCCCACTCCCATTGCACCTATTATTGTAAGACATTTGCAGGTTCACCAGGATCCTTCCCACCCATTCTGTTACTGAGGAGCTGTGCCTGGCAGATGATAGTGCCCAATAACTGTTTGCCATCTTCACAGGATGATGTTGACCCTCAGAGTGTCTCAGGGGGCAGGCAGGTGGCCTGGGGGTACTGAGGATCAGAGAAGGTGAGCAATTTGCTGTGGGTTGACCAGCAAGAACGTTATGGAACCAGGACTGACATTCAAGTCTTTGCACAACATCCCACTGAGGGAGAAATGCCCACCAGCTTCTCTGAGGGAAGCTGCCTACAAGAAGGGAAACTTCAACAGGTTAGTTATTTTTCAAATTCATTCCTCATGAATGCTTTAGTATTTAGAGGTGAGGTTTCATGATGTCTGATAATTATTTTCCAATGATTAAAAAGAGCAAAATACTAACAGTTTTTGAATACAGATAACAGGTATTGTTCATCTTACTATTCCTTCAACTCCTATGTAGATTAAAATCTTTCAGAATAAAAGGTTGGGGACAAATGCATGCCCCAGGCGTCTCCCCTTCTAGAAGGCCCTTGATTAGAGGCTTATATGACCACCAGCACGTACTCAGACACTCGGAGTCAGTCAGCAGGGCCTCTGTCTCCGACCACGGCAGCCTCCGCCCCGTGCCATCCACGCAGAAGGCCTTCCCACTGCCCGCAGCCCTCTGGCTGGCTCGGTACCGGCCGTCCTGATCACACTGAAGGCCTGCCTCATTCCTCTGACAGTCTGTGACACCTGGAACAACGAGAGGGACACCACTGTCACCGCCGAGCCCCTGTGACCCTCCCCTCTGGCCACTCAGCCTCCCAGGCTTTGTTCAGGCGTCCGAGTCACACGTCTGACTAGACACTCTCCATCTTAATACACAGACAGTGCACCTCACTGACCGAAGGAGGAGGACCATGTCCACACGCCCTGGGCAAGGAGGCCCCGGATCTGGTCCCACCCACCCAGCTGCACATGCGCCTGTGTGCCCTGTCCAGGGCACCGCAACCTGCGCCTTCTTTGCTGCAGGTGCTGAGCGCTCTGCCCTCCTGGCCACAGCTCATCCGTCTTCAGTAGCTTAGCTCTTCATGGCTCATCAGCTGTCAACCCAATCGGCACTCTTCCTCAGGGAAGACCCCCAAACCCCTAACATCTGTCTGAGCGTTACACACGCTCCTATAAACCCACACCTGGAGGCATGGAGCACAGATAAGGTTTCCGTTTGTCGGTGTGAATGAATGAATGGTTGACAGCTGTGCCTCCCACTCAGTAGAAGCTCCAAGCAGGCAGAATCTGGTTTTGCTCCTTCTTGTAGCCCAGTGCCTTCTTGGTGTCTGACACATAATACAGGCTCCCCCACTGTGATATTGTGATTTAGAATAAAAAATATACAATTGGTCTTGGTCCCCATTCTGGCTCAGTGCTCCTAAAACTTCTGGAATTTCCTAAGCAAAGAAAGCCATAGAGGTGTCTTTGTTATATTAATGATGTCGCTTCTGGATGGGACCAAAAGATGGGGGCTGATTGCCAGGGGACCTCACCATGTGATTAGAAGTTGGGAACTTTGAGCCTCTCCACTGATGTCCCTGGAGGGAAGAGGGCATGGAGGTTGAATCAATCGCCAACAACCAATGATTAAATCAGTCATGCCTGTGTAATGAAGTCTCCATAAAACCCCAAAAGCACGGGGTTCAGGGAACTTCCTGGTAGTGAACACATGGAAATGTGTGGAGAGTGGTGTGCCTGGAGAGGGCATGGAAGCAGTGCCATTTCCTCACACGTGCCCTGTGCCTCTCTTACAGCTACCTGCTCCTGAGTTATCACCTTTTATAATAAATGGGTGACCTAGTGAGTGAAATGTTTCTCTGACTTCTGTGAGCCTCTCTGGCAAAATAATCAAACCAGAGGAGGGGGTAGTGGACACTTTTGATTTATAGCCAGTCAGGCCAAAGTACAGGTGATACGCTGGACTTGTGTTTGGCATCCTGAGTTGGAGGAGGTTGTTGGAGTCTCCAATTTATAGCTTATCAGCTGGGCTTTGGACGAGGTCTGAAATGGGAAGGGGCTGGGCAGTGAGTATTCTTGTAGGACTGAGCCCTCAACTTGTGGAGTCTGAAGCTGTCTCTGAGTAGTGTTAGAACTGAGTTGAATTCTCCGAAATCCTGCTGTTGTCTGTGAATAACTTGCTATTCATGTTGGGGAAGGCCCCCCTCATTGGAATTGGGTCCAAAAACCCAAAAATAATACACCCAATCAATAAACACTAGTTGAATTCATAGATGAATACCTATTCTGTGTTCAAGCTATTTCCTTTCTCTGCCCAGTGCCTGGCTAATCCCCAGTCATCTCTCAGGACCCAGTACTAGCTGCTATCACAAGATCTAACATACACTCCCTACTCTATTATTAAGTACACTACATTATAGTTATATACTTATACTTCTTCTTTTTCTATCAGATCTAAACTCCTTCAGGACAGAGAATTTACCTTTACTTACATATCCAATATACACTTGGCACAAGTTTACTGGCTCAATAAATTTCTGATGAATGATATATAAAGGGAATACCTTGACTTGGTTTCCCAAGGCTGGGAAGTAGATAAAAGATTTTCTGTTATGGCAGCCCAGAGAACATCATATTTTCTATATTTTAGGACTATTTCTTATGTGACTAACCACTGATTAATAACAACTTTCTTGTGGAGAGATTAAAAAGGCTACTTCTTAAATAAAATATTTTGCATGCCATACATACTATACATGAATTAGAACATCAATAAACAAATAAATAAATAGCTACTCAGTTATCAACAACACCTCAAAAATCATCTGATGGACCTGCAAGGTTAGAATATAAAGGAGAAAAGTATTTGTAAGTGAAAACTGTAACATAGCCTTCAACAATGCAGAGGAATTGAGATTCTAAAAGCAATCCTAACACCAAAAGGAAGCCAAGGAAATATTAGAATCATTTAACATCACTTAAAACTTAGCAGCTCTCCTGCTCTATGCTTCTCTTTAATATGATTCCATCTAAGAACACAGGCCAGGTAACACAAGACAGAATGGTGGAGTTACTGAGTCACAGAGAAGTTCTTAGACATAAACATAGCCTTAGCATAGACTCCACCACTGACCCTGGAGACCCATTCACTGAAATCTATTCTGCTACTCATGGAAGATGTCTGGGAGAGTGGTAATGATGAGACAGCACTCCACCATCACATGGAAATGCAATCAAAGCTCACCCCCAAAGTGGGGTAAGGATGAATACTTATTGTTCACTTTAATTATCTTAATGGATTTTTTGCTATGGTCTGAATGTCTCTGTCTCTCCCAAATCCATAGGTTAACGCCTCGCCCTGATGTGATGGTGTGTGGAGGTGAGGTCTTTGGGAGGTGATTAGGGTTAGGTGATGTCATGAGGGTGGAATCCCCACAATGGGACTACCGCCCTTATAAAACAGAGAAGACACAGGAAATCTCTTGCTCTGGACGCACATACTGGGGAAGGGCCACATGAGGATATAACCAGGAAGAGGGCCCTCACCAAGGACCTGACCATACCGGCACCCTGACCTTGGACTTCCAGCCTCTAGAACCATGAGGAATAAACATTCATTGTTGAAGCCACCCACTCTATGGCAATTTGTATATAGCAACCCAAATTGACTAAGATAGGCTTTATAATGATTAGTAAGGTATGGTTAGCTCCATCTAATTGGTGAGAAAGCTGACATTCAGAGAGGGAAGGTGGCCTAGCCTAGGTCACAGTGCCAGTAGGAGGAAGTGCAGGTCAAACTGGGACTGGCTGGTGCCAAGCCTCAGCCTCTTCCTCTGTGCCCTGCCACGTCTGCCGCAGTCCCTCCATAAACAAGGATCAGTACATTACATGGATCCCCTTTTACAGGAGCGTTCCTCTGGCACTGAGACGGCGTGCCAAGTCACCTCAAACCACGGCGAATGGAGTCAATGTGTGCAAACTGAGGGTGACGCAAGGCTGTCAGGAACACACGGAATCCCTGGTGGACAGTTTCCCCTGCAGGAATGTGAAACTTCTGGCTTGTAAAATCCCTCTTATTTTCTTAGTTTCCAGGAACACTGGAATTATCATCTTATTACCACTGCACCCATAAGGACACTGCCCTTATCTGAGAAGGGGATTTGGTTTCTTTTGACTAATTATTTTAAAACTCTAAAAACTATTCAGATTTTAAGTAATGACGGTTTGCCTCATATTGACACAATTTCAGACTAACATAAAAAGATGCATAATAAGGCACATTATGAGCCCTTGCTGGGAAAAACCCAGCAATACCCAGGTGACTATTAAATAGGCCAAATGAAATCACATGACATATGGGAAGGCCACACGTACACACAGTCCTGAAAAATTTTTAGGGCCAGAAATAGAATATAAGCTACACAGTGGTAATGACTATAGGTGGAAAATATCTTCCACTTCTCAATCTGATAAGGTTGACTTACGAAAATCAGAAGTTTCAGAATCAGACAATACTGAGATCAAAGGCAAACCGTGTCACTTACTGGCTAGGGGACTTTGGCTAAATTACTTCTCTGAGCTTTAGCCTTCTTCTCTGTAGAAGGTGGGCTAATAATATTTACCCAGAAAGGGAGTTGGGAGGACACAATGAGACAACACAGGTAAAATGCCTCACTTGTATCCTGGCAGTGTACAGGCATTTAAATTTGGTGCCCCTTTGATTATTGTACTGTGTTCCCAGTGGTTCTCAATAGTGGGCAATTTTGCTCCCCATGCAAGAGACACTTGACCATATCTGGAGATATGTGTGGTTGTCACACTTGGTGTGGGGGTTGTTGCTATTGGCATTGAATAGGTAAGGGCCAGAGATTGTGCTAAATAAACATCCTTCCATGCACAGGGCAGCTCCCAAATGAAGAATTATCTGGCCCCAAATTTCAGTAATGCTGAGGTTGAGCACCCTGCTGTGTCCCCATTGCACTTGGGGTTCTCTTTCAAAGAAGGACCCTGCAGAACTTACAGTGAGTCCGGCTGAAAGCTCCTATGGAAATGGTGGTCCTGCCCACAGGACATGGGATGCAGGACAAGCCACCTGCCTGTTCTTGGTAGAATCCAACAGGACAGGGGATACATAGTTCATCCTGAAAATAGCTTCCTTCCGGACACTTAACTAGAAAAGATAAACAGAGAAATGATGTTAAAGACCAAGACTCTGTAGTAAAAGACTTGTTTTACAGTTACAACCTCAGAACACAAAGGGTATATGAAATCCCAAAACCAGTATATGAGCTCATTCATTTAGTAAATGCCCATAAAGAACCTGCTGTGTGTCAGGCTCTGAGAGTCAGGACAGGCGGCGAAGAAGGCAGACAGGGTTCTGGGAGCTGATGAGCTGCTAAGACAAGAGGGTGTCAGACAAAAATTTCAGATATGGGTAAGATGAAGCAGGAGATGAGGGCATGTTGAAAAGCAAAGCACCTCTGAGAGGTGACGATGAGACTTGAATAACGAGTACCCCAGGAACGATCTAGGAGAAGAGAATTCCAGGCAAAGGGAACAGCACATGCAAAATCCTGAGGTAGGAATGAGTTTGGATTCTTCAAAGAATGGAAAGAAAAAAGCCAAACAAGGCTAGCTACTAAGCTAGAGTCTAACGGACAAAGGGGAGAATGACATGAGATGAAGTTGGAGAACAGCATGAAAGAGGAGGGTCCAGCCACAGGTTGCCATAGCAACATTTCCCAAAGTTCAGGACAGGTGGAACACAGTGTGGGTAGTGCACAAATTCTGAGGTTAGACAGACTGACTAGAGGCCCTTTCCCCACCATAACTAAATGACCTTTGACTTCTCTGAGGCCCTATTTTCTCAATTCGGCACCACCTCACTTGACTCATGCGGCCTCTCCCTGTTGGCCAATCATGACTGGCCTTGCTCAGACTACGGCAGGGTGAGGCACTCGATGCCCAGGCTTCATGGAGGCCTCCCCGTCAGGTTGCTGGGCTTCTGATTTGTTCAGAAATACCAAGTGTGATGCTGAGAGTTGGGCCTCTGCACATCTTCGCCTTGGATGCCTTACCTGTCTCCGTCTTTCCTCCCTGGGCTGCCCCTGTTAACTGCAGATTCTCAGTGCTTCCCACCCTCGGATTCAGACATTCTCAGTTCTTCCTTACTTGCTTCCTCTAACATGACATGAGAAACCAGAAACCCAACCTGGAGAGATGCGTGTCTCAGAGGAGTTCTAGGGCAGGATCTGAGGGAAGCGCACGAACTTGGCCACACCGGTTCTGTCGGCTTAGAGAAGCGGGTGGGACAAGGAGGTTATCAGTTCAAGGTTGTGTTTGCTAGAATTTGCCAAATAACTTCTAGAAGAAGTTAGCTGTTACCCAGTGAAGGTAGCCGCTGAAAACATGTCCCCTCTAGGGAGCCCCTTCTATGTGCCTGGCACTCTACAGTGTTCTTTACAGGCATGACCACAGCACACTGTGAGGTACTATTTTATCCCCATTTCACTGATGAGAAAGCTGAACCATGGGACATTCATGCCTGACTCCCTAGCATGCTTTTCTGCAAAGGGCAGGAGGCAAGTAGAATTACAGGCCAAGCACAGTGGCAAGTATTTCCATGTGTTAGCTCACAATCCCATGCTAGGCTGGAGAAAACTGATGTTCAAGCTCGGTTGATAGAGGCAGGCAGCAAAGGGATAGAACCCCCGTCTCTTCAAACTGAAACCTTTCTCCACCCACCAGTTTAACCACCTTCCTTTGGCAAAGCAGCAAACACAAACACGTAGGACATGCCGGAAATGAAGTCCATGTTGATTTAACAACTACTATCTCAGGTCAGGTGTGCATGTATACTTGGCATTTCTGACTAAATCAGAAACTCGAGACGCATCTTGGAAACAGAATGACGAGTTTTCCGGTCTGCCCTGGGCATCATATCCTCCCTCCGAGAGCTGGGTTTCACTACTTCTATGAGTCAGATTGTTGATCACCTCTAGGATTTTAATCCCAACACTGTGACTCCAAATTTAGTGCTAAAGGAAAACAAAGTGTTTTCTGCCAGCATGAGGTGCCCCGCCTCCAAACCCAAGGTGCAGGAGGAGGGACAGGAAGCCCAGAGCTAAGCACGAAGTCCTGCCACAACTTCACATGTGTCAGGCCTCTCAGCTGTGCTCCAGGAACATGCTTTCTGTTTCTGCCTTGTGGGCCGGGCACTCACTGTGCCCAGAGGCCTCTCCCATGTGTCCCTGCCTATCTCTCTGGCCCCATCTCCTGTCACATTCCCCACGTCCCATTCTCCACCCATATAAACCAGGAACCCTGTCCCCTTAAAGCACACCACTGCACAACGCCCTGCCTTTGCACTAATCTCCATTTCCGGAAAGTCACTCATCACATTAGCACCCTCAACACAAGCGCAGGTACACGTGCACACACACCCATCACTTCTTGTCTGCTCTGGTCTGAGGGGCAATTCTGACTCTGCTTTCAAGACTTCATGCCAGCTTTAACGATCCCAGCAAGCCTTCCCTGACTGCCCTGGGCAGAGTGTACAAGGCTTTTCACAGCTATCAGCTGTCTGCTCACCTTCTCCCCAGCTAGACTGAGTTCCTTGGAAATGGGACTATGACTTTTGCTTTCCTGTTAGGTGACACATAATTATAGTGTGAAAGTTTGGATGGATGAATGAATGGAAAGATGGATGGATGGATGCATAGAAGGGAAGAATGAAGGAAGAGAGGGAAGAAGGAAATGCAGGGAGAAGGGAAGGAGGGAGGAAACAGACATACTATATTATTTGAAAAAAATCATAGAGAAGTAGCTCTGTCATAAGAACTTGTAGAGAAAGAGTGGTAGTTAATGTTGTCCAGATGGAAAAGAATTCAGACAGTTTCTCTGGGATTCTCCTTAATGGACCAACCCGGTATGAAGTCATCCAGATGCAATCTGGGGTGAAGCCATGTGGCTGGCCTGGAGGCAAGAGCGTGAGCATAAATGTCCCGATCAGAGCTGCAAACAAAGCCTCTGCCCAACCCTGCCCCACAGTATCCATTCCTTGGATGAAGGATGCCATCCTATATGAGTCGTGGGAGGTGGATATTCCCACCAGTCCCCCCCGAGTCACTGCCCCCCGAGGCCATGTCCAGACTAGCCCCCTGAGATGACACCTGCTCCATTTCCACAGGACAATGCTCTGCTTGTAGCCTCACAGCTATGTTCCAGATGTGCTCCAGAAGGAAAAAGCTGATAAGAACAGATGCAAGAATCCGAGGGTGTGAATTCACTAAGAACCCCCTTACTGGGATGGGAGACATGTGATGCAGAGAATTTGGAACCCCAAGAGCTGAGTTTAAATCTCAGCATGGACAATTAACAACAAGACCATTTGTTGAGAGTTAACTGTGTGTGAAGGGATGTGCTATGTATTGACTATATTATAATATCCAAACCACAGCCCCCATGAAATAGGTATTATCATCACTATTTTTTAGATTACGCCTAGTGGGGACAAGCAATGTTCCAAAAGCCCACGATTAGAAGGTGTCAGAGCCAGACTTGAGCCCAGGTCCACATGGCTTCAAAGAGCAGTTTCCTAACACTTCACTGAATGCCCCGGTGGCCTCATCCATACTGTGGGTTAGTAATACCTGCCAAAGTTAGTAATACTGGACCAAAGGAATGCTGGTAAGGCCCAGCACATTTCAGAAACTCAGTAATAAATAGGTATTACCGCTGACACTGGGAAAAGTCCCCGACACTGGGCGGCACTTCATGAATTCCATTCTGGACCCGCCTGACCACTTGGAGTAAGGAAGCAGGGATAAATGGTGTGGTGGGCAGACAACTCCTTTTGAGTCCATGAAAAAAAAAAGCTGCAGCAGTTGAAACCAAATGTAGATTTTTCTAGAGCTAGGATTGAAAACTATAGTCCATGGGTCAAATTCAACCCACCTGTATTTTGGCAAATGTAGTTTATTGGAACACAGCCAAGTTTCTCTCTCTGCAATAGGTGAGCTAAGTCATTATGACAAAAACTGCAGTCTGCGAAGTCTAAATCACTTGTCCCCACCCTTTTCACAAAGTTGCCAACTCCTGTTCTGGAGCAGGTGCACCTGGAGCGAAACCTTTCACTCACCCCCTTCCCCAGATGGCCAGACTCCCTCTGAAGCCCTGTCATCCTGAGGCCCGGTTCTGATTCCCTGCACACTGGTTGACGCCCTTTAGGCAAGACTGCCTGTGCTCCTAGCTCGCTTCCCCACCTCCCAGTTGAGCTGGGCTACCCATCCTGGTAGACGGGACATAACAATCTAATAACCAATCGGGTTCCTCAGAAGGAAACAGGAGATCAGATTTCCAGACCTGCCTTTTATGGGTAGGAAATGGCGCCTGAGAGGAAATGGGACCTGCTTTAAGGCCCAGAGTCAGTACAGGTCCGTGTCCTGCCTTTCAATTAGTATGCATCTCTCCCTCCTGTCTCTCCACCTCTTGGCTCCGCGCTCCAGGGGTGTACCTGAGTTCAGTGAGCCTCCCAGACCCACTTTATCAGCATGACCTGGGGGGACCCAAAATGAGGGCTACTGGTCCTCATTCCTCCCAGCACACACACACACACACACACACACACACACACACACACACACACACACACACACACACACACACAC